CACATATTGAACTATACAATAAAAGGTTTCCTTGGTTTTTTTACTTACTATAGTAGAAGAATTCTGCTCATGATTTAATTTTTTTCCCCTTTCACATACTCAAAGCACAAAGCCTCTGAGATAATGGTCTTGAATAAATGCATGTACACTCTAGAATTGTGGGTATTTAGCTATACCATGATGGAACACGTTAAACTATTAATGAAAAATCTAAGCGCATTGGCTCATAATACAGGAAATAAACAAATTTGAGCTTCAACTATTATTTCAGGAAGGCAATTTGCCAATGGAATATTTATTTATTTATTTGATTTGATTTGATTTGATTTGATTTGATTTTTATACCGCCCTTCTCTAACAGGACTCAGGGCAGTGAACAGCCGAGATAAAACATAACATATAAAATTTAAAAAACAGTTTAAAAGACATTAAATAATTTCGGCCCTCAATTTAAAACGACCTAGTTAAAACCAATTTCAAATTAAAACTGAAAGGATGGGATCAAGCCAGACCGGCCAGATGAAATAGATGTGTTTTCAAGGCCCTACGAAAAGTCCGGAGGTCTGGTATCGTGCGTATCTCTGGGGGATAGGTCGTTCCAGAAGGCAGGTGTCGCCACAGAGAAGGCTCTCCCCCTGGGGGTCGCCAGCCGACATTGTCTGGCTGACGGCACCCTGAGGAGGCCCTCTTTGTGCGAGCGAACTGGCTGGTGGGAGGCTATTGGCGGCAGAAGGCGGTCTCGTAGATACCCTGGCCCTAAGCCATGGAGCGCTTTAAAGGTGGCCACCAACACCTTGAAGCGCACCTAGAAGACCACCGGAAGCCAGTGCAGCTCGCGCAGGAGAGGTGTCACATGGGAGCGCCCCGTCGCTCCCATAATCCCCCGCGCGGCCGCATTCTGGACGAACTGGAGCCTCCGGATGCATCCCAAGGGGAGCCCCATGTAGAGAGCATTGCAGTAGTCCAGGCGGGAAGTGACGAGTGCCTGAGTGACCGTGCGTAGGGAGTCCCGATCCAAAAAGGGACGCAACTGGCATATCACACGGACCTGATAAAAAGCCCCGCTGACCACGGCCGTCATATGCTCTTCTAAAGACAGCCGTGCATCCAGGAGGACACCCAAATTGCGAGCCCTCTCCGTGGGGGCCAGTGATTCGGCCCCAATAACCAGCAATGGCACCAGCTGGCTATATCGGGACACCGGAAGCCACAGCCACTCGGTCTTGGAAGGGTTGAGTCAGAGCCTGTTTCTCCCCATCCAGGCCCGCACGGCCTCCAGGCACTGGGACATCACTTCAAGGGCATCGTTGGGGTGGCCTGGGGTGGAGATGTACAGCTGAGTGTCATCAGCGTACTGATAGAACTCCACCCCAAAGCCACGGATGATCTCACCCAGCGGCTTTACATAAATGTTGAACAGAAGGGGCGAGAGGACCGACCCTTGTGGCACCCCACAAACAAGGCGCCTCGGGGTCGACCGCTGCCCCCCTGCCAAAACAGATTGCGACCAGTCAGAGAGGTAGGAGGAGAACCACCACAAAACCCCCATCCCCAACCCCTCCAACCAGTGCAACATGATACATGGTCAATGGTAACAAAAAGCCGCTGAGAGATCTAACAGGACCAGGATAGAGGAACAACCCCTATCCTGAGCCCTCCAGAGATCATCCACCAACGCAACCAATGCCGTTTCTGTGCTGTGCCCAGGCCTGAAGCCAGACTGGAGCGGATCTAGATAGACAGCTTCATCCAGGTACTGTGGAAGCTGCTGTGCCACCATACTCTCAACAACCTTCGCAATAAAACGAAGGTTGGAGACTGGACGATAGTTAGCCAAAACAGCCGGATCCAGAGAGGGCTTCTTAAGGAGGGGCCTCACCACGGCTTCTTTCAAGGCGGCCGGTAGGATACCCTCGCTCAAAGAAGCGTTAATAATCCTTTGGAGCCAACCTCGTGTAACCTCCCGGGAAGCCAGCTATTTAGATATTTGGTGGAATGACATCAGTGATTGAAATACAGGAGCTTGTTTAAAAGGTGTAAGAGAACTTTCTCTTTCAGAGGGTGAAGAATGATATAAAAGAATCAGTTTGACTTGATACTGAGCAAAAGGATTTTTAATAGAATCTGATCTATTTTCATAAAGCAGGCAGTTTCATAATGTCTAATCTGCCCATTGTGATTAAATTCTCCTCTCTGCATTTTAAACCTGTAGTGTTCCTTTTCTGAATCAGCTTGCTTTTAAGAAGAATACAGCTACTCAAGAAAGTGAGTATGATTATAGCGGGAAGGGACTGCTTGCATCAACCAATGAATAGCTTGAGCTACCATGTATTCAGTTAACATATACAAACCAAAACCGAGTTCAACACTGAAGATGACTTCAGGCCAAAAATAGTAGTATAAAAATGCAGCATGTAAACACACACAGAGGCTACTTTAAGGGTGAGAGGAGGCTCAATGGGTAGTGAAACCTGTTTCTGCTTCAAGGAAATGGTTATCAGTCAGTTCCAGTGATAGGAAAGTACAGAATGGAGGTATCTTTAGGTAAGAAAGTGAAAGTAATCAGGACGTAGGGGAAAGTGATACTAGATACCTAATTTTTTATTTTATTTTGTTTGTTTATGTGTCATCAAATTAGCATTATTTTGAGCAACCATATATATAGATTACCTCCAAGATCATCTGTCTCCAACAGATCTTCCAACAGTGCCTTTATTGCTGTTCTAACTCTTCTTTTTCCTTCTACCTTTCCCATAATTATGAGCTTCTCAGAGAAGCTAGGTCTTTGCATAATTGTCTAAAATTCAGTAATTTGTCATTTGTATTTTGGGTTAAAATTCTGAATTGATTTTTTTTCAATGATCCACTGAAGTACTTAGTATCCTTAATAATCTCAGGAATCTTTGCCAACACCATGGTCCAAAAATGCAACTTCTGACATGTTGGACTACACTTCTTTTTTGCACAAAGAGAAATGCAAAGCAGGAATTAAGCAACTCACAAGCACTTTTCCTATTGTCTATCACTATCTTGCCATCTTCTTCATCCAGCAGATCAACTGTTTCTTTGACTTTCCTTTTTTCTCCATACAATCCTCTCGTTTTTGGTACTTTTTTTGCAATCGTTGCATGCCTCAAGTCATTCTGCGATAAGAAATGGAACAACTTCTTATAAAATGTGCAGATGGTACAATATTGGGTGAGACAGCTCATATACTATAGATAACATTCAAAGTTACCTTGATAAGTTAGAGAAGTAAGGTGAAATGAACAATGATGCATAATAGGCAAATGCAAAGTTCTTCATGTAGGAAAAAGAAATCAAATGCATTGGTATAAAATGAGGAAACTGGCTTGTAGTGAAGTAGTAGTAGTGAAAAAAATCTTAATTAAAACTGAATGTGAATCAATGATGTGATGTGGCAGCAATGAACAAACAATGTTATGCCATATTATTAAAAATGTACTTTCTAAATTAATGGGAGTAAAATCTGGATAACATACTTAAAAGCATGAACCCAAAAAATTGGAACAGATTCAGAACTGGTTAATGAGGATGATCAGTGGATTAAAACTAAATTATGTGAATAGAATTTGAAGGAGTTAGGCATGTTTGGCTTTGAGAAGAGAAGACTGGGTGGAGTTGAGTGGCGTAGCATAGTTCTTTTCAAATTACAGAAATGACAACTCAGAAAAGAAGACACAAATCTTTTTGGTATCTTCCCTTGAGAAGGGCATGGATTGATGGATTTCATGAATTTAAGGAAGAGAGATTCTGACTGTAATTTTTTTAAAAATACCCCTCGTTTCTAATAGTTAATATAGTTCAACATCTAAATCCATTAATCTAATAAATTGTAGGAAGCCCTTAATAACCAGTTACAGTTGAGGTTGGACAGCTGTCTTTCAAGGATGCCTTAGTTTAGATTCCTGCATGGGGAAAGAGTTTGGATTCATCGGTCTAAGTAGTTCCTTTCACATCTGTAAATTTATAATTTGTGCAATTGAGATTAACTGTATTGGGACATAGTTTGTGCATTGTGCACATAGTTCGTCCTCCAGAAAAGTAAGTGATGATGCATAGTAAATCTTACCACCCACTATGCATTGCTTAAATTACCACTGCAATTTCTTTTAAATCAGATTACCGCCCGCCCATCTTTTCCATAGATTATAAATTTACAGGCAATGGAGGTGCCCAGAGCTCTTCACGAAAGACTCGGTTTAAAGCAGTTTTCTTTCAGCACAAGAGTGAATTTAAGAAGAAAGTAGTCAACATTTCCTTTACAGCAAGGTAAAATGCCGCCGTCGGTGTGTTTGTCCAGTTTAGGATTGTGTCCCTAGTTGGAAGTCACCGTTACTTCTGATCTGTCGTATCCCACGAACAGATATCTTATCCCCGCATTCCACCCTCTGGGAATCCCTTTCCGATAACGCACACTAAACTACAATACCCAGAATTCTTTTCAAAAAAAAAAAAAACCCACTCGCGAAATTCGCCTCATAAGCAAATATGAGGGCAGCGGCGTCTCTAAGATACGGCCGCCCGCCAGACTGATGGAAAGAGCTCCCGTCCAATCGGCAACCGGCTTTTGATAAACGCTCCAATAACGTTTCACAGTGTCGACACGGTGGGCGGATTCTCTCGAGGGATCGCTTGGCTGCCTAGCGCTAGGATGGAGGGCAAGGGAAAAGGAGGGGGCTAGTTGCGACGGTAGCGAGAGCAGTCGCGTCCCGCGGGGGACTGCAGGCGACTGAGCCGACAAGGGGTGGCGGCGGCGGCAGTGAAGCAGTTAACCCTGCAGGGGGAGAGAGAGAGAGAGAGAGAGAGAGAGAGACAACGGCCGTTCAACGAGTGCCGCTGATTGCCTGCCTCCTCCTCCTCCTCCTGCCCTCCCCTCCCCGTTAGTTACCCCGCCCGTCAGCTCGCGCTCCTTCAGGCTCCTTCTAAGCTTACCCTAGTCCGGTCCGGTCCCGCAGTTACCATAGAGACGGCGACGACGACTGAGGCGCCACCGCCGCCTGCTTGCAAGCCATGGGCCGGAGTCTGCTGCTGAGCTGTGCTGGGCTGAGCCGGAGGGGGCCGCGGTAATAACATTCTCCTTCTTCTTCTTCTTCTTCCTCCTCCTCTTCCTTTCTTTCGCCCGGAGGCTCCCCAGAAAAAAAAAATTAAAAAAAAGAGTTTTCTCCGAGCCGGTTTCCTCTCGCAGGCTGACGAGGCAGGGGCGCCGCTCGCGTTCCAGGTGAGAGGCTCTCTCCGGCCCAGCGGAACAGGGCGGGAGGCGGGGTGGTGGTGGTGGTGGTGGTGTCGCCGACAGAGGGGCTTTTGTGGGCAGAGGGAACCTTGTTGACATTCCGCGGCACCGACGGCTCAAGGGGGGCAAGAGAGAGAGAGAGAGCGCGCGAGAGAGGGAGGCCGTTTCTGTCGCGGCCCCGGGTGCGCAAAAGGGCAGCTGGCCGGTGCTGAGGATGCTTTGGGAGGGGGAGGGCAGCGGTGGCGGGGGGGGGGGGGGGGGAACTGGGGGGCGGCGGCCCCTCTTCGCCCTGCCGGTGGGGGGGGGGGGGTGAAGGGCCGGGGGGGGGGGGCCCTTGGGGGGGGGGGGGGGGGGGGGGGGGGGGGCGCGGCGGCTCCCGGCAGTCGAAGGTTGTTCGGAGACAAGAGACAGAGAGAGAGACAGAAGGGCAACCTTTAGGGCAGCGATATCCAATCGAGATATTGTTCTGGGTTTTTTTTTTTTGTTTTTTTCTTGTTTTTTACACGCCGGGACAGAAAGGGGGCGGAAATACTGCAATGAAACAAACAACAACAACAACAAAAAACCCCACAAAACAACCCTCCGAAACTTGACCCTGGCGTGGCAGAGGATTCTGGCCCATCTTTTAATCTAGTTAGTTCGTCCCGACTCCTGTGTTTTCCCCATACAGTGCGCGCGCCGCAACTGGATAAATAGCAAAGATGGATCGCCGAAGTTTTGTTCGCCTCGAACCAATGAGATTGTCGGCGAGGCTACAACAGTTAAGCAAGCAGCGTTGTGAAGAAATGGGGGGAACCCCCCCCCCACACACATTGTGGGCTCTATGCGGCGTTTAAGTTCTATCTTAAGGCTTGGTTGTTTCGACCTCTCTTTTCATTGATGGGAACTAATGGGGCGGGGCAGGGTGGGGGGACGGGACGGGACGGATGGTAGTCAGCTTGACTTTAAAATCAGGTAATGTCGATGCAGTTTCTCTATTCATAGAAATAGTCTGTAGTATTGGAGGCAGATGGAGACTGAGACTAAACATTGCTGTTGCAACAAGCAGTTGCATGATGATATGAATAGTGTTATATAGTATATACTTTCTTCTCAAAGTGACAGGTATGATCTTCTGCTAAAGACCTTAAAACTACCTGTAGTTGGAGCAGGAAAACATCTGTTTCAGAAATTACAGGCCTTTCTCTTTCTGTTCTGTAATAACAATACAATTGTGGTTCTTAATATTAGGTCTTTGTATCCAATCAATTAAAAGGAATAGGTTATTAAATGATGATGATATTATCATCATCATCATGATAATGATGACATTTGAATCCAACTCTTGGCAGTCTATTGGCCAGGTCTCTCCACATCTTCCAATCTTGCACTATTTCTTTGAGTTTCTCTATGTTCTGTCTGGTGTCAGCTTTGATAGTGTCCAGCCATTGTGTTTTCCCGACATCCTGGGTTTTCTTTTATCGCTAACTCTTCCAAACGTAATAGCTTTCTTCACTTAATTCTCCTGCATGATGACATGGCCAAAGTAAGTGAGATGCAGATTTTTCCTTTTAGTGATATGCCTGGTGTTCTATACTCCAGTACTTCCTTGTTAGACATCTTTGCTGTAGCATTTTCTGTATATAATATTCAAAGTTATCTGAGAAATGCCTTCTTAAATGAATTAGTTTTTATAATATGCACATAAGTTGATTCTAATATCTTTGAAAGTTGATTAGGAAACTTTTTCAAAAGTTTAAGATAATCAGTCAAGTGTTCATCGGTGTGTGGTTTGTAAGAAACAATGAACTGACCTGGACTTTAGCTTGTCAAACAGTTTCAATAAAGAAGACTCAATTATTTTCTTGCTGCACTGCATGAATTATACTTTTTTTAAAAAAAATCCTCTCTTTGTCAGGTGATAGAAACCAGCGCCACATGGGAAGGTCCAATTAAACTGATTTATTGCCATCAGCCTGTGCACAAGAATCTTCTCAACTGTTAATATCTACTTGGAGTTAGATAAGGGTTCATGGAATTCGAGGGGTGGGGGGGGTTGTAGTTAGTCTGCTTGTGGCTATGTAGGGATTCTAGGAGACTATCTGGACTGCCTTGCAGTTTCTTGGCAACATTGTTCAGAAGTGGTTTGCCATTGCCCCCTTCCTCGGGCTAAAAGAAAGTGACTAGCCCAAGATCACCCACCTAGCTTTGTGCCTAAAATGGGACTAGAACTCAATCTCTCATTTTCTATTGAATAATCATGATATATCAAAATAGTAAAAGCCAATACTATATCAGTGCTTTATTTCCTATCCCTTTTGGCTTCCTCCATTCTATGATATCTGATCTTGAGAGCCCCCCTTCTCTCCCAAGAAATTATAAAATGATGGAGTGGATGGTGAAAGTGTGTTTTACTGATAAATACTATTCCATTAGAATGGAAAGATGGAATGTTAGATACATGTTTTATTTTTCACACATTTTCAATATTGATCTTGATCTTCTTATGTTTAAAGATTCTTATTCAAAAGTAAGTCTCACTGATTTCCGTTTTGATTTCCCCTCCCCAGTAAATATATCAATGTATGTTCTCCAACCTTCACAAGGAAATAAATTTTGTAAGAACTCTTTATTTTCTCTTATTTGTCCCTTACATTAGACTGTATTTTCATAGCTACTCTGGACTTCACCACTTAATGTATTAATAAAATATACCAGAACTTGAAATGGTCCATAATCTATGTTCTGAAATCAGGAATTGTTCCAATAAATTTAGGCTTCTGGAAATAACATTTATAAATAGCTCTTTTACAGATTTTCTGTAGTATTATCAGTAATCCTGACTTTTAAGTGTTTGAGCTATGATTCAAATCATGTGCCTTGGATACAGTAGTTGTTTTGACCTTTTTTGGATGTGGGCTTATGCAAAGAATGGAAGAAGCTCTTAAGCAAATTTGTCCTATCTTTGTGTGTGTGTGTGTGTGTGTGTGTGTGTGTGTGTGTGTGTGAGAGAGAGAGAGAGAGAGAGAGAGAGAGAGAATGAATATGAGAGAGAGAATGAATATGAGAGAGAGAAACAGGTGCCTTTGGTTCTACTTATTCTTCTCCGGTAGATCAGAAAGGAAGGATGCTTACTGCGTTAGGACTGTATCAATCTTTCACAGATCTATGGAATTACAAAGCACTTCTTTTCAAATTCTTATTTTTTCTGTATTTGGAGACTGCTTTGGAAGTACTTCTGTCTGTCTGAGTATGGGTGTTTATATACCCCACTTTTCTTCAGTCCAACCCTTCATTGGTTGTGGAGACAGCCAGGAGTAGTTACCATAATAGCCATCAAATCAGAGAAAAGATGTAGCTGCATAAAAGAATGTGAAAAGAGTGCTTTGCACATGCATCCACATTTTTCTGAAACACCTCTTTCAAAAGATTTGCAAAGCCTTATCAGCTACTCTAATAAAAAAATTTATACTAAGAATGATATGAAAAATTACAGGTATTGTGGACTGTTATAAGGCAATGAAAATAAATCTGGTTTGTAGGATTTCATAATTCCGTGATGGCGAACATATGGCACGTGTGCCACAGGTGGCATGCAGAGCCCTCTCTATGGGCACGCGAGCCGTCACCCCAGCTCAGCTCTACTGTGAATGCGCACAAGCCTCCCGCTGGCCAGCTGGTTTTCAGGTCTCTGCTGTGCATTCATGGGGGGCAAGGCGCATGTGGGAGATGCGCACACATGCATGGGGGATGGGGTATGCACAAGAGTCATGCACGCATGCACGGGGTTGCACATGCATGCGTAGGGCCATGCGCTCATGGCCGAGGCCACGCATGCATGCATGGGGACCGGACATGCGCAGGGTCGTGCACGCATGCATAGGAGTCTGCACAGGGGGTTGCACACGCATTACATTATGGGTGTGCGTGCGCACTCACGCACATTCACACGCATACTTTGGGCATTCGGTGCTGAAAAGGTTAGCCATCACTGTCATAACTGATCCCAATAAAGAATTTGGCGATGAAGCTGAGGGAAGAGAATGTAATTTTTATAAGGGGAAATATGAGAATTCCTGAAACAGATAGAATAAAGAGAGAAAGAACAGAATTTTGATAGATGAATTATATGGGCTGTTTCCGTGCTGAAAAATGTAAACACATATCTTGCAAGGAAACATTTATGTATTTCATTTATATACCATATGCTCTGAACCATGAGGCCAGCCTGAAGTAGTTTGCAGTAGAACATAATGACAATCAAAATAAAATGGTATCCAAAGCAAATATTACAATGCAATTTAAAATCATCAGGATTATAATAACTTGGCTTCCAGCAATAAATATTAAAACACTGTGGAAGAGCTCCATTTTCATTGCTTTTTTAAATTACAGGAGGGATACTACCATATGGATCTCTAGAGGGAGACTTTTCAAAAGAATACAGACTCCCAGCAGACCATTAACAGTTGCCCCCTTTTCTGAACTTCTCAAAGTTAGGAGAGAGAGCTTTCAGGATCCCCATGCAGGAAAGGTAGCCAAGTCTAATAGGTTTGATTTGAAGCAGATGATTACCTGAGATGCCAAGCTTTTAATGTTAAAATCATAACTTTGAATTGTACCCCAGAGTCTATGGGTAGCCACTGCAGAACCCTCTTCATCAGTGTTACGTTCAAGTAAAAGTAATGACTATTACCTAATGACAGGCAGGCTGCTACATGTTGAACCAACTGTGGTTCCTGACAGTCTTAGAGTCAATTAAAGTGATACATACAGGAGGTGACAAGAATGTGAGTCACTGTTGTCAGGTCTATTTCTCCAGAAAGGCTGAAACTGGCATACTAGCAGTAGCAACTTGTTTCTTTCCATCTAGGCCCTGACAACCAACAAGAATTAGGTCAAGACTTCTACTGCCTTAGCAACCCAATGCAGGGTTTCATGCCCTAGTCTAAAACTTGACTGAAAAGAGTCCAGATAATCCCATTTCTCCTATAATATTCTGTTGTTGGAACCTCACCAATAACCTTCTCCATAAAGGAAAGGTTATAAATTGGACAATAGTTGTCCACTATGGTTGGATCTACAGAATGTCTCTTCAGGAGGAGCCAATTTTTTCAAGGTGACAGCCACCATAGGGCCAATTCACATATGGCTGATATACTGCCCTGTTTTTCACTTCTTGTCCAGAATATTTTGTTTTTGTCAAAATGTTGCCTAAATAATTAACAGAACCTCATTGCTTTTTCTCACTCTTCAAAAGGGAGAAGTACAAATGCTTTGCCATCTTTATTTCTGTAGTTTAGGCTTAAAATTATCTCAGACACATGTTTGGTAAATTTGTTTCTGATCTTCCTCTATCAAATTTAAGGTTATCTTTTACTATTGCATCTCCCAAAGCTCCTCAGTAAACCAGGCATGATTGAAATTATATAATGTCTATACCATCTATGCACTACAATGTAACTAAATTTTAAAAATGGATAAATATAAGAAGATAGTAGTTAAAATTAGGTAGCAAAACAGGCAGGATTCCTAGCAAGGAGAAAATTAACAAAGATATGCTTAAGATTCTTCTGAAAATACTATAAAAATATAACACAATTGACTGGGGAGGGGATTCAAGAATGTTGGACTGGCACCAAGAAGGCCCCGTCTAGTTAATTTTAAAAGAAAAGATAAAACAATCTTTTCTATGGAATCTATTTCCCACAAACAAAATTTGGAATGAGACATTCCTTAGGTCAGAGGGTCTCAAGCCATACAAAGATTTTTACAGCATCTTGAGTTTTGCATGAAAAATAATCAGGACCAATTTATCAAAATAAATGCTTATATGCATGCAGTGAATACTGCTGATAGGCATCTGCCAGATTTTGAAACTGCTGAAATGTCTATGCAGTAGAATGATAAATCATGCATAGATGGAATAAGGACTTCTAGCTATTGAGCCAGAAACAGATAACTCGGACAGTCTAAGATGAAAAGTTTGTAACAACAAAAAGATTTTCAGATGGTAAAATCTCACTAGAGTAGGGGCATGGGCTTTCAATGGGCCAAGCTTCCTTTGAACTCTATTCAAAACTATGGGTGGTTCTCAAAAGAGAATTATTTCTGCCACAACTCTGTTTCATTCATGGAATTTTAGTGGGGGGGGCAGATGTTGTCATCTGCTATTGTAATTTGCTTCTTTCATCTTTTCATAGAAAACTGTTAAGGTGGAGGGAAAAAAACTTTACAAAGTTTTTCTGTGAATATACGATGGAAGAACCCTTTCCTATGTTCTTATTAACTGTATTTGAAATGTCTATAGAATGTATAATGTGTTCCCCATTGTTATGCATGAAAGAATATGCTCATTTGGAAGGAATAAAGATTTCAAAGATATAAATGTGATAAACTCATAATTGATTTGGGCTCAAAAAGAAATAGAATCAATAAAAGAGGAATAACATTATCTAAAATCACTTCCAATCAAAATATTTCAATATTTTGAACCAGTTTCTAAACATAGATACTTGAGAGAAATTTAAGGTAACAAAAACATGAGAGTGTTGTTTTAACACACTGTTTTACCCAAGATTTATATCAAGTGAATAGATGCCATCTTGGTTCCCTTTAATGCAGACATTGTAACCAGCAGCAAAACCAAGGTACAGTGTCTGCATTAAGGGGATATGTTTTGAATTTGTGTTGCACAGTGAGTCTGATTCCTTGCATAAAATTTGGCTCCTCAGGAATTAAAAATAGCATTCACATACTCTTTTTACCTAAGGGTTTATCTCAGCATGTTATGCAAACATCGTTACAATAATCCTTATGTAATTAAATATGTCTAATCATGGCTAGAATTGCATTTCCCCCATAATGTGAATTATGTATAGTTGCAACAATTCTTTGAAATGTACTAATTGCTAAATACAGTATCTATTTGAATTTAATGAGATCTGAAAATATACTTTCTACTTAATTATTGATGGTTCTAATTTAATTTTTAATTGTTGATTTAATATTTTGTATATTTCACAGTAAACTACTATGAGATACATTTTAATAAAAATATAAATAACATGGAAGTTGTTAGTATATAAACTCTACTTAGCTGCAGTAGCTATGTTGGTATACAGAAGCAAAGTTATGACCCGAACTATTTTCAAACTCTGTTTGACAGGGATTAACTAATTCTTGATTAGTTTTGTATTTAACATATTTTCAGGTTTTGCATGCATTGGTAATAGGTTTCTTTTTCCCAGAGAAATTTACTTCTGCGGAAAAAGATCAGAAAGACAGGTAAAGTTAGCATCCTTATTTTCGTGGTAACAAATAACTGGCATGATGTCTGGACTGAATCAGTGTCTTGCCTGATTTCATCAAATGAATTATTAAGTTAGGCTTTAATAAGAGACTCACTAGTTCATACCTTGGAATCTTAGTCATTATGCTTCATTACTGCTTTGTTCTCTCTGTAACTGCGCATTACGATACGTATGTTGTGCTCTTTCAATTTTTGGCAGTTCCTTAGTAGGTTTTTTATTTTTATTTTTGGGGAACACTGAGTATTTGTACCGTAACTCTTTGAACAACTGCAACAGAAACATTTCTAGCTATAGTATCATTAACAAGTTTTGTACAATTCAGTAGGGTTAGCCTATCTGAGTTACAAGAGCTTGTTATTAGATGGCAAGAAAAATATACAGGCAGCTCTTTGCTATTATCTAGCAGTTGTCTGGATTTTTTTCAGCTCAAAAAGGATGTTCTGGTATTTATTTATTAAATTTATATGCTTACTCAGAAGTGACCAATCTGATTATAGCTCTAAGTCAATGGCACTTTGTTCAAGATTGGCTAATGCATGTTTGTAGCCTTTCAGGATAATGGATGCACATGAGAAGCCATAGGATTTTAATTTTTCATGTATTTGCCTGACACCAGGGAAACTGGTGGTATAATTAAAAGGACCAAGTGGGCTGGAAAAAAAGAAGCTTAAGACAATATGAAAGAATGTGAATCCAGGTGGAGGTTTCTATTTTGAGTAGGCTACAATGAAGCACTACATTTGAAATGCAGTGGGGTACTTAGAAGAACTCAGCAACCTAGAGTGAACTCTTTTTGAGGAGGGTAACGTAATGGCCCAACTGGTCTCCCAAGAGGAACTGAGCTCAGATCTTTGGTCAAGAAGGCTTTGAGTGCTATGGATGTGTGCTGAACTCCTTCAAGGAAGTAGAAGGATTGTAGAGCTGAAGCAGTTTTCTCTGTGTTTAAGATGACATAGTTGGTTTGGGATTTCCATGCTGCTGTCATGGAAAAACGACTCTTGGTATTTGAAGGTCTTGAAAGTTCAGTTTAGCCACCAGATATGTATAGCTTAGGTCTCTTGGAAAATACCATGACCTTGCTTTTTGAGCAGTTAATTTCTAGCAGCTCTTCTTGATAGTACTCGGCAAGTGTATAAAGTGTTCACTTTGGGCCAATGTGCCTGTTTTGATAGATGGAGAGATTGATTGTTCAATTAGCTTCTGAATGGAATAAAAAGGGGAACTCGAGTGCACCCTTGTCTTATACCTCATTTGGCTTACCATCTTGTAAATTTGAGTAGCAATACTTTCCTTTGTATTTGCTTTGTTGCCCTACTCTATGTTTGTTGTGTAGTTTTTTGGAAAAATGAAACAAGCTACTATTTCATGTGTTGTGGCAATGAACAAAAAAATACACACGAAGCATAATCTCTGTTATATTTTTAATGTAAAGCAAAGTCATTGTTCTCAGTTAAGGTTTCTGCTTGAATATGGAGCTAATACTGAAATACTAGAAGTAGTTCAAGAATTGTTGAATTGATGCATATAAAACAGTACATTCAGAAACATCCTGGTGTTTCTTTTTTATGACGTTTCTTAAATCTTTCTACAAAATGTTGTGCAAGATTTTATTATTTTGCAGAAACTTTTTATTTTAGATATCCTTTAGAATATACAAAGGACAAAAAGCTGTTAAATGCCCTCACATTCATAATCAAATATATTAAGGTATTTTGTTTCTGCAACTTAATTACTATTGAAATTTGCTGATTATCTTTGTTCAACATTGTGAAATTGGAAAATAGCCTAGTTAAAATAAGATTAAGAACATTTCTTTTTTGGCCATGATTTTATTAGCCTGGTTTCATATATGGCTGTTTTGTTTCTATAGACTCTGCTTAAATGGAAGCCACTTCTGGGAACTTGATGGTCTCTACTGACATAGGCTTTGCATAGCCACTGTACCACCCCAGAGATTGCAATGAGTGGAGGAGGAGAACAGCCGGATATTCTTACTGTGGGGATATTGGTAAAAGAAAGATGGAAAGTGGTAAGTATGTAATAGTTTTATTGATTTTTTTCAGATGTTTGGCTATATAACATTCAATCAAATAAAAAGAAATCAAAATGTTATGTATATAATTTAAGAGAGCAGACATAGCTGTAAACTGCAAGATGGGAGAAGATTGTGCATTGCATCCTTCTTAAATACGGTCTTGATCAGCATGATAAATAAATAATCAGGTTATGGCTTACCTAATATGATGGCTGCAAAGAAATAATGAAAATATAATAATATTATCAATGCTTTTCAGGAATGGATTCCTATATGTTACAGTTGGTTAGCTGCTTTATCAGTCAGTGTTCTGCTCCTGCTCTTTACCTGGGTTCCTGTGTAGTTGAAAACTTCACTGTTCCTCCTTTTCCATCATTCTTACATGATATTTTAAAAATGTTCTGTATAATAATAGTTCTGCCTTTATTAGGCTAGTATAGTGCAATTTTCTAAGCATTATTTGCTAGTCCAGGTTAACCTCTTTTCCCTCTAAACACAATCTCCTTGATGTCTGCAGAGGTTTCTTCGGTTTTTTTAGTTAACGTACACACATAACTCCCCCCCTCTCTTTGTTTCTTTCACATGCATACACACTCATTCAGAGGAGGAAGCTGAAAAATCCAGCAGGGGATAAATGAGTGGAGAGAAGGGCAGTAGGAGGAGCATGTATTTGACTGAATGGATCTGTGTGTGTCTGAGTGAGAGAGGAATATTTAAAGGGAAAGATGCAATATGTATTTTTGAGAGAAAATGATGGGTGCTTGAGGTCCTGCTTGTTTTTTTTTTATGTATAATGGAAAATGATTTCAAATGTATCTACAAAATAGAATATTCTCTTATAGAGTAAGTAGTGTTATATAAAGCTTAGAAAAGAAGTAAGAAATTATAAACAGAATAAAGGCATTAGGTAAAAAAAGATATAGTATATAGGTAAATATAGTTTATACCAAGTTTTTATCTTTCTATTTTTAACTCTACCATTTCCATACAAGATTTCATGTGCTATTTGTCTCCTTTATTTTAATGTTTTGTGGTATAATAAGGCATGAGAATAGGGTGGCATATCCAGAACCACCCAAACAGGATTTTTCTGCACTACAATCAGGAGGCAGAGAGAGGAATGAGAAATACCTGCCAGAAGAATATTTTAGTAATTAACAATGACACAGCTAAAGCATATTCAATAAAATGCAGTATCTTTTGTCAGAAGTCCTGGATCCTACACATATTCATCAAATGATAATTACTTATTCTTAGTGTAAAGAATAAGTATCAGTGTAAAATTACACTGTAAAATAAGTATTAGTGTAAAATTAATAAGTATCAGAATGTCAAGTCATCATCAGTAAAGAGTTTGGAAGCCCTGTGGATGAATGGTTGAAGATACAATAGCTGTTGGAAAGGACAAAAGAGCCAAAAGATAATGATCTGCATCTTAGTTATATTCAGTCTGAGGTAATGGGAAGACATCCAACATAAAACAATTACAATTACAAGACAGTCTGTCATGGCTGACTATGCATTGTTATCAAGGGTCCAAAAATTGATAGACGTGAGTATAAACACCATAATAATGATAATAAAAGACTTGAATATGAATCTGAATACTCAAGGGAAGAGTATGAAGGATAAACAAAATAAGTTCTAGGATTGATCTCTGAGGGATAAATGTAATAAGGAGAAATTCCCAAGACTAAAAATCTAACATGCAACATTGCAAAACAACGAGAAGGAAGAAAAAAAAAAAAAGAACCAATAAGGTATCCAGTCAGTGATATCCAGGGATCATAATGTCGCTAGCTGTTTCTAAATGGTCAAGTGTATTAAATACTGCTGTCAGTTAAAAAAAAGAAAGTCTGACACCAAGGTAAAGGATATTTTGGGCACCAAAATATCATTTAGAATTCAAGAATGTGCTATCTCAGTTGAATGGCCTGCTTGAAGTCTTTCTTGATGTGCATTGAGAAGGTTGTTAGAATACAAGTGAAGAATCCATTGTGAAAAGGGAACTCTTCCAAAGATATTCCAAAGGTGCTTTTTCAGGAGGCAACTGGACTTTCTTGTTTTTTCTTTGAAGACGTTCCGCTTCTCATCCAAGAAGCTTCTTCAGCTGTGACTGGATAGTAGGGAATGGAAGGATTTATATTCCTTGCAGAGAGCTAGTCATTTGCATCCTTTTAGTGGGTTGTTGAAGTGCTTGGAGGTTTATCTGTTTCCTCAGGGTCACCTGAATAGTGTTCCTGGTTCCTGTAGTCTCCATTCCTACTCCCACACCATTCAAAGGGTGTCCATCCCAAATTGTATAGCTAAAAGACTGTAGAGATTCTCAGTCATCCCCGTCATGGTTGTCCCAAAGGTGCTTTTTCAGGAGGCAACTGGACTTTCTTGTTTTTTCTTTGAAGACATTTCACTTCTCATCCAAGAAGCTTCTTCAGCTCTGAAGAAATATATTTCTTGGTGGAGAAATATCTGTTTCCTGTATCAATAGAATATATAAGAGGATTGCTGAGCACTTCAGCCAAATGGACAAATTTTCAGTACTTGTCTTACAGGAGAATGAATGCTGCATCTAGAGAGTTTTTACAAAATTGCAGCAAGATGGGGTTCTCCCTCAGCAGCAGCAACCTGATAGCAACAGATGGTAATAGACAAGTGATTTGCTTTCCCCCCTAATTTAAAGGTCCCAGAACAGAGAATTCTACAGCCAATATACAGTAGTTAATTTAAATCAAACATATTTACATATTTTTATTTTTTAAAGTTTTTATTAAAGTTTACTGTGGTATAAAATACAAATGGAAATAAAGATTTAAAAAAGGAGAAAGGAATGCAAGGTAGAAAGAAAAAGAAAAGCACTGACTTCTGACTCTTTGGTGTAATATAATACAAAGTAAAGTTGCAAGCTCAGCTTTTTGCTTTATATTTCTAGTAGATACAAGCCATTTCTATAACTACAAAAGTAATTTAATCATCAAAATCTAAAATCTGAGTTTCATTTTTTTTTTCTGTTTTGAGCATAAAGTCCAGAAGCAGTTTCCATGTGGAAACAAAACTGGATGAGTTCTTCTCTTTAATTAAACAGATAGCTTTGCCCATCTCCATCAATTTCATCACTTTTTCCATCCATTCTTCCACTTGGGGATTGTCATGTCATTTTTTTCATGTAGAAAATAATTGTTACTGTCTACATATATAATAACAAAGTTCCAATTTTTTTCATGTTCTTTATCCAATAGCCCTAAAAGGAAAAGTTCATGTTTCAATTTTTTAATTGTTTTAAGAATCTTCTGAATTAAGACAAAAAATCTGACCCCAATATTTCTTTGTTTTGTTACAAGTCCACTAAAGATGATACAAAATATCTTCTTTACATTTACAACAAATATTTGAGATATCTTTATACCTCAAATAAAATAAATTTAATAAATAAATAAATAAAACATTTACATATTTTTCATGATTTTTATATTTAGTCGATCAGATGTAATAATTTTAATTGTTAATGAACTAAAGTCTTTTAATTAAAATTTTACATATAATTTTATATTAATTATTTTATTTTAATGCTATTGTTTCTTCTAAAAAAAGTCCAGAGGTATTACATGTTCTTGAAAGTAATACATTTACATTTACACAGCATTTTAGAAAAGATATTCTTGTTTCTGTGGTATGAAAGCTGTTTCTAGAATTATAGCTTTTGCAATGGATGCCTGTTATTTAAAAAATCAATTTTTGCGTTTGATTAAATCTACATATGAAACTATATTCCAATTAAAATTCCTATATATAATTGGCTCAGCTTTATTTTAAATGGATGATAATCCTATTTTAGTACATTTTTCTAGCAGTCTTATACTTTGCATGATTCTAGCTTTGTAACTGATGGGTAACATGAAAATTCTGGATGTTAATATCTTGATTGTAACAGTACTATCATGGAGTTTTTTTTAATTTTCTGAAACAATTGCTCATATACAGCCAACAATGTTATTTTAGAATTTCTATTATTTTGCCTAATTTATTTCTCAGCAATAATAAAAAAATCTGTGCACATAATATAACAGTACAGTTTAAATATGTTTAGTAATTAGACAATATTCAAAGTTTATATCAGGTAACACAAAAACTGTAATTTTAAATAATGCACTAGATTGATAGTCTTATTTATTACAGATAAAGAAAATTGGAGGTGGAGGATTTGGAGAAATTTACGATGCAATGGACATACTTACTCGAGAGAACGTTGCACTGAAGGTGGAGTCAGCGCAGCAGCCAAAGCAAGTTCTGAAAATGGAAGTAGCTGTGTTGAAAAAACTGCAAGGTAAGATGAACAAAGATCCTTATACTGTGGTTGCTAAGCCTCTGACACACGTTGCTAATGTATAGCAATTGTCCTATTGTTCTGAAAGTCAAAACGGTGAGACAAGCTTGAAAAATCAGGAAAAGGTCTGAGTATGAATAAGATATTCATTGATCAAGTGACAGCAAAATTTAACAAATAAACAATATTTCTGAATGCAGTTGTGTTTATCAGAAAGCTTACTGAGTTCAGAAAAGCTTCATTACACATCAGTATGTTAAGGATTGTAACTTTAATCATATGTTGAGATTAAAAATAGGAAAGTTAAATTTACATTGACCTAATAATGACTTAAATGGGTAGGTTTATATGCATGAATGAAATATGGCAGCATTCATGTTTTTAAGTCTTTATAGTTAGGGATTGTGAATGCAGAATGTGCTTATTTTGAGGTTGAAGATAACTATAGGAAACTAGGTGTTTAAAATCTTGGAAAAACAAATACGTTCTTGCTTACTCTTGTTGTCCACAGACTTCCTTTTAGCTGCCGCCCCCCCCTCCCCGTACTTTAATCATTATAGGCTCCACTTTGTCATATTTTCATTAAAAAAAATCAGTTATTGGGAACACAGGGAACCCCTTAGCCTTTGCTTTTCTATCTACTTTTAATATGCAAATAGTTTTAGCATTATTTAGCAAATAGTTTTAGGCTGGTGACCCCCAGGGGGAGAGCCTTCTCTGTGGGGGCACCTACCCTCTGGAATCAGCTCCCCCCAGAGATAAGGAGAATCCAAGACCTCAGTGCCTTCCATCGCGCCCTTAAAACCCATTTATTTAAACAAGCCGGGCTGGCTTAAGATGAAATTTTTAACTGTTTTTAAATGTTTTAAAAGTTTTTAATTGGTAAATGAGTTTTAATTGGGCCAAATTTATATATCTTTTAATTGTTTTTAATATTTGTTCTGCATGTTTTTTAATCTGGCTGTACACCGCCCTGAGTCCTCAGGGAGAAGGGCGGTATAGAAATCCAATATAAAATAAATAAAATAAATTTGTCAGTACTCAGAAACTGGCTCAAACCTTGTTAATTCTTGGATAGAAGACCTGCATGGAATAGTATAGCTGTAGGTTTGATGAGAGGTAAAAGAAGCCAAATGTAAACCAAACAACATAGAGCTGTCCATGAATAGTTAAGTTTGATGAACGTTTTACCTTTATATTGTAAATATCTTCTTTTACTGTATTTATAGCCTGTTATCTATTTTTTATGTGAGTGAGACAGACAGATTGGCTTTAATGCTGGGTTTGAACATCTGATAACCTGATGTCTTGTGCATACTTTAAGGCTTTATGTAAAGAAATAAAATGCTAGTACAAATCTTGAGTACATCCCAGCATTTGCTTTCTTCTTATGGAAAAAAATTCATTTTTTAAATCTTCCATAAATTGATCTGTTCTCTGTTTGTGGTTGTTTATTTTAGGAACTTTTTGTATGAGAGAGGGCTGAAAGCTTTTAAGGCTTTAAATTCTTCCAGATTGCTTCTATCATAGAACTGATGACTTTAGGCATGTTGGATATTCCATTACAAATTCTTGAAACTGGATAAGGAAGAACTCATAACTCTCCAGCTGTCCATCTTTTATTATACAAATACTGTATCTGTGAAAGAGAACTTGCAATGTGCTTAGCAACTGGGGAGCCTGGCCAGTAGGGTATCGTCACAAAGATAAGTCTGGCAAGTGTGAGTTTACCTGTCTATTACTGCGTTGAAGAAAATATTCCAATAAAACGACTATTCAAAGAATTTGAAAAAAGAAATTGGAGCCAGAATTATTCTTTCTCAACAAGGCTTTATGGTGTAGTAACAAATTTTGATGCTGTCCATCAGATTAATGGCCATGAAAGGATAGAATTGTTTGAATTTTGTTATTGGCTGGATTCACCATCTTGTTCTTTAGCTGCTTCTTACTTATTTGTTTTATTTATTTGCTTTTGAATTATTATATTTTATCTTTCAGTTATATTATGAGTTGCCCAGAGTCATTTGGAGTTGGGTGGCACCTAAATCAAATAAATGTAAATTAAATTAAAATGTTGGTGGTATATTGTTTACTTTGTAGTGCATTTCACTCAACATTTGCACATTTTTCTTATGTAATATTTTTCTATCCATTCATGACACTTGTTTGCATCTGCTAGATATAGATTTTTTTTTTTAATTTGATTTATATGCCACCCTTCTCCGAAGACTCAGGGCGGCTTACAATGTGTTAAGCAATAGCCTTCATACTTTTGTATATTTTTAAAAAAGGTCAGCTTATTGCCCCCACAATCTGGGTCCTCATGAGACCCAAGTTGCAAGTTATACCTAAATATCAAGCAATATGAGCTTCAAATTCTCCCTTTAGTTTTCAATTAGTCTTCTAGATTTAATTGCTTCAAAACTTAAGTTATTTGTGTTCCCTTACCCAGAATATTTAGCTCTAATCGTCATTTGGATTCATTTAAACTCTTTTTAGGATATCTTGCTGGTTTTCATCTACAGGCATTTAAAGTCACAGGATTAGATTTTGATATAATGGTAATTCCCTTACTGTTTCAGGAAATTAATAAACTCTCATTATTTGCCTATTTTCCATATAGAAAGTACAACATTTCACAGTGTTATGGATAAAAAACAGTGCTTCTTCCAAACCAGTTCTGGTTCATTCAGTGGAATAAGCAAAGTTCATATTCTTCATTGTTGTGTTTGTGCATATTTCAGAATCATTCAATGTAAAAGATAATTTTTATCATTCTTATATCAGTTTTTTGAGAATATTTCCAGAATTTAAGAATGAAAGGTTTTGCTCAGGATCTCTTCTTGTTTGGAATCATTAATATTTGTAAGTACTTAAAAGAAGTGTCTGCAGAGACACCTTGACAGGAGAAGTAGATCCCTGCAACCAGTTGTTATTAGGGGGAGTATATTTAGTGGCTGGCACAATTCTATCTTTTCTAACCACTTTGTAAGTCTTTTTCTAAGTACAGAGGATGGGCAGTTGCCCCACTTTTGACTTCTCTAATTTATAGTTCTCCTATGACTGTCAGGGTTCCAAGGAACACCCCCAACGAAATAAAACTCCAAGGCCTGAGGTTCTTCAAAGTTCCAATTATTAGAGATATCTTGTTGGCACATCTGGGAAAACCCGAATCTGAAAGCTTCCAGGTTTTCTCCACCCAGCTAACAGTTCACAGCCCTGCCCCACACCCACAAGTTCATCACATAGTCCAATCAACTCTTCACATTCAGCTGGATACAATCTCCAGGCAGTCTCCAGCAGATGCAGGCAAAAGTGTCCTTGAATACGGAATGTTGTTACGACTAACTTTCTATCGCTCCAATAAAACCCCCCTCCCAATTTCCCAGACTAAAATATGTGGCAGTTAGGAAGCAAAAAGGAAAACTGTTTTCCAAAACTGACAATGACATGACAGACTGCAGGAGTATACATTAATCTAAATCAAAGCTTGTTTTGTTTCAAATACATCTTCACTCCACACCTATCGGATTTAGATATTCTCATGTCATAATGAATATAACATGACCTATCCATAACCTGGTTAAGTATGTCATATGAACATGATAATTGTATATTTCTCTTTAGGCTAGTTTTAAATCAGTCTGATAATATTTTTCCTATTTTCCTCTTAAATCTTATGTTTTGAATAGAACTATTGAGGAGAGGACGGCTTGGATAAGTATAGGAAAATAAATATTCCTAGAAAAGTTGTTGGACAATATAAGACGATGGCTAAACAGTTTCTTGATTCAAGAGACTGAGACATTAATATCTCTATACTCTGCCTTATAGTGGCTGTGGCTCCCGGGGTCCCGATATAGCCATCTGGTGCCATCGCTGGCTATTGGGGGCGAGTCATTGGCCCCCACGGAGAGGGCTTGCAACTTGGGTGTCCTCCTGGATGCGCGGCTGTTTTTAGAAGAGCATATGACGGCCGTGGCCAGGGGGGCTTTTTATCAGGTTCGCCTGATCCGCCAGTTGCGTCCCTTTCTGGATTGGGACTCCCTGCGCACGGTCACTCATGCCCTCGTCACTTCCCGACTGGACTACTGCAATGCTCTCTACATGGGGCTCCCCTTGAAGAGCACCTGGAGGCTCCAGCTGGTCCAAAATGCAGCCACGCGGGTGATTATGGGAGTGGCGGGGCGCTCCCATGTAACACCTCTCCTGTGCGAGCTGCATTGGCTCCCAGTGGTTTTCCGGGTGCGATTCAAGGTATTGATTAACATCTTTAAAGCGCTCCATGACTTAGGACCTGGGTACTTACGGGACCGATTTCTGCTACCGACAGCCTCCCACCGGCCAGTACGCTCCCACAGGGCGGGGCTCCTCGGGGTGTCGTTGGTCAGACAATGTCGACTGGCGACCCCCCGAGGGAAAGCCTTCTCGGTGGGGGCTCCTGCCCTCTGGAATGAGCTGCCCCCGGAGGTACGGAGGATCCCAGACTTGCGCACCTTCCACCGTGCCCTGAAGACTTTGTTATTCCAGCAAGCCGGGCTAGCCTAATTTTAATGGTTTTAAATTTTAAATTGGATTTTAATTGGGATGTTTTTAATTGTGGGCCAAAATATTTAATTTAGTTTTAAATTGTTTTTTAACTTTTATATTTATGTATTTGATCTTGGCTGTTCACCGCCCTGAGTCCTTCGGGAGAAGGGCGGTATATAAATATCATAAATACATACATACATACATACATACATACATACATACATACATACATAAATATCCTGTTCCTAGGATGAGGAATCTTTCAAAACCCTGTGCTTTCTCAACCTAAAGATGTAGTGGTTCTATTATCTGGGTGTATAAAATCAGACAGTGAGTTCTTAAAATAGATTCTGCATTTTTCTGACTACAGAAAAGTGTCAAATAGGGTCATGAGGTTTCTAACTATAGAATTAAGAGCAAATAGAAATAAAGCTAAGGGATCATATAAATTGGTCACAAATAAGTGCTGGAAAAATAGTTCTTTGGATGAGAGTTAAATCTCTTGCAGTGAATTTCTCCAGAATTTAGACATTCATCTCTGGAGGGAGCATATTACAGAGGAGAGGAGCAACAGCAGAGAAGATTTCTTCTTTGACCCACCAATTGAAATTCTTTAACTGAAGGGGTCCATAATATACTAGTAGGTATGTTATTCCTCTAAATCAGGGGTGGGCAATTGTGGCTCTTTTACAACCTGTGGACTTCAACTCCCAGAATTCCTGAGACAGCTTGGCTATCTCAGGAATTCTGGGAGTTGAAGTCCACAGGTTATAAAAGAGCCACAATTGCCCACCCCTGCCCTAAATCATAGCCACTACCAAAAATGCAGGCCTTTTCTGGCTCATCAGGTTCTTCCCCTGCAAGTTCTTTCAAACTGACCATAATTCAGTTTCCTTTCCCGCTATTGCTTTGCAAGGGAAGGTAGGTGGACATATAGCAAAAAAGATGTAGGAGGAACAAATTGAAAGGTGATATCAGAAACTTCTATCCATTATTCTAACTGTGTTTCATTTTTACCTTTGCTGCCCTGTTATGTAAGTAAAAGCTATTATATCTGTAGCTGACCAACAACAGAGGAATAATTAGTATATCTGATACTGAGGGCATGAAGGAGAAGTAGCCTGGTTGAACAGTGTCTTCTGCTGTGTCTTCCCCATTAGTGTCCACAAACTGATATAGTTTCACTTAATTATATTATATCAAGCTAATTTCACCAGGGGTGGGTTCTACTTACCTTTACTACGGTTCGCAACTGTAGTAAATCTGCACATACGTAGATCACCCTTGATGACGTTGGGGCGGGTGGGTGGAGCCTCCTGCCGGTTTTACTATCAGTTCTATAGAACCGGACTGAACCGGGAGCAACCTACAACTGAATTTCACTCTTTTCCTGTAGGTTAGGGGTCCCCAAAACCTGGACTGCAGCCCACTACTGGGCCATGGCCTATTTGCAACCAAGCTGCGCAAGTGGCAGGCAGGCGCACACAGACGTGCACGCAGCTAGACTAGTGTATGTGGCAGGCTGGTACACATGTGCGTGCAGCTTGACTTGTGCGACCGGCAGGCTGGCACACATGTGCATGGCCAGCTGAACTTGCAGTCAAGTAGTGCATGCCTGCTGCTCACATGGCCTGGTTCCCCTATATCCCATCCCCCCCCCCGCCAGTGGGCCACCAAGCTGCAAAGCTTGAGGACCACTGCTTTAGAGTAATCATGCAAAATTCAGTGTTACATTGCATTTTTTGCAAAACTACTGCATTTTAATGTGATTTTTCACATACTAAATTTTGGGAGAATTGGGATATCAGGTTCAACATAGAAAAAATACCAGCTCCCATGTTCTTATTTTGGTTACATGAATAAGTGAATATCCTCAAAATAAGGTTTTCAGCAGCCCAGTTTTGGCAGTATATTCTCATGCTATTCAGAAGCTCCATGTAACCACTAGCCCACAGGCTTCATATTGTAAAGTAATTTACCTTGTGCTTTATAGTTACGTTATACCTAAAGTATCAAAAGCAGGTCCTCCTCATTGGGTAAATTGCTTCTTTTTCAGTTTTTGTAGCATCTTTGTTAGATATAGTGATTTGGTGGGGTGGAGGACAGTTAAGAAAGAGATTTAGTGTTCTTGAGTTAATGAATTCACAACAGTAAATATTCATAATGAGGATCCTTTGCATCCTTGAATTTTTTTCAATATTTGTCTAATTCAAATTGCATTGGAATATAGTTTCCTTCCTACATCTATTTTTTCTAATTGATGTCATCACTCTAACAGCTTACATTTATGTTTGTAATAAATGTTTTCATTATGCTGTAAGCAGTGATTTTGGAAATAGTATTAGTTGAGAAAATGACATAGGGGAAAAAAATCTGTTCTCAGCAACACCGATACAAAAATGCAAGTGGTCCTTGACTGTTTAATGTTATGACACTTGGAAAGATTCTATAAAGCACTTCAGAAAAACAGAGTTGGAAGGGACCTTGGAGGTCTTCCAGTCAAACCCCCTGTTCAGGCATGGAATCTTATACCATTTCAGACAAATAGTTGTCCAGTCTCTTCTTAAAAATCTCCAATGTCGGAGCACCCACAATTTCCAGAGGCCATCATAAAATGTCCCGTTCACTACAGTCATGTGATTACGATCTCAGTAATTGGCAACCTGTTTGAACTTATGATCGGTTGCCAACTGGCCTGTGATCATGTGAGAAAGTCAATGGGGAAGCTGGCAGGGAATGTTACAAGTTCTTGCCTCCTGCCGCAGGTTTTTCCCTCCCCTCCGTGCACATTCAAAATCTAGCCAGGATGACATGTTCATTAATTATAACATAATTAGATTATAGATGTGGTTTATGCTGCGTACTGTACTCTTGAAGAATGTCTATGGAGATTCTCAGTCATCCAGGACATGGTTGTCCCAAAGGTGCTTTTTCAAGATACAACTACCAAAACACCTTTGGTACTCTTTTAAGAATATTACAAATCTAATTGGTCCAAAAGCAGCATCCTAATTATTAATGGGTGGGACATACGAAATTTGATATTGTAATTAGAGTAGGTATATTGGTTTCCTGTTTAAAATCCTAGTAATCTTTAAACTTCTTAATATTTTAGGATCGGGATTAGAGTCTTCTGCTTTCTTCCATACTATCTCTGCTAGCCTGTTGACATCATCTTTGGAATCCTTTCTGTATGACTCAATAACCCCTGAAATCTATTTGCCCATGATTAGAAAGAGGGTCTTTTGAGTGCCTACATCAAAACTCTGAAACCTCTTCTCTTGGTAAAGACTTTCCTTTTAGGGAGGCCTTTAGAGTGTAATCTCATCTGGTGTTTTTTTTTTTTTAAATATTATCTCAAGACTTAAATATTTTTTTAACAATGGTTATTTGTTGATCTTTTAATAGTTATTAAATAGGAACTACCTAGAAATCTACAGAGGATAAATAAAATGAAAATATTTTAATTAAGAACAAGCTGCTTAACGGAGAAGCCCAAACAATAGGACAGAAATAATTTTAAGAGCAACAATGAATAAATTGTCTTCCATATCTTAGTCTGTTTGCCACTGCTGAGGAGGTCTTTTTCCTTAGCAATTTTTGCATCACTTTGTTTGTTTGGGCACTGAGGAGGCCCTGTAAAGGGTAGTAGATTTGGGTAGGAATATACAGGGAAAGGTATCTTGCAGGTAGCCCAGACCAAGGCATTTAAAATGTTAAAGGTTAAGGTGTTTGACCAGTAGCCAATCAAATTGTATATAGTATATACAATTAAAATATTACTTTTTTAATCTTTCAAACCTATTCAGAAACAATTACAGTTTTTTAACAATTTGTAAAAGCTCTTCTGCATATAATACATTGCCATTTTCATAACAGAAAGTAATTTGATCATGGGCATTTTTGAACAGATTGTAATCATGGTGACTTACACTGTAGTCACCTCAAGAATGGGATAGTGCAACGCAAACAACTTGGGGCTGCCCTTGAAAAACCACTTGGAAGCTACAGCTGGTCTAGATTGCATCAGCACAGGCAGTAATGGATATGACATGGTATGCCTGTGTGACACCACTTCCTCTGCAAGCTGCAGTGGTTGCCAGTTGACTTCTAGTACAGTTCAAGTTCCGGCTACTACCTATAAAGCCCTTTCTGGCATATGGCCTGATTATTTGAGTGCTGTTATTTCTGATCCAGCAGAATGAATACTTTTCAAGTCCCTTCAATTGAATAATGCCATCTAGTAGGAACCCAGGGGCATATCTTCTATGCCATCATTTGGAACAGGATCCTCTCAGAGATCTGTATGGCTCCTCCCTTGATGGCGTTCCAAAAGACATTGAAAACCTGATTATTTTCCTAGGAGGTAGGGCAGTTGGTGAGGATATATGCTGTTTTTTATGGCTTTCTGAACACATGGCATTTGTTCTATTATAATTCTGCCTTTTTATAAAGTAAAGTGCCCAGACAATTTGGAAGCTGGGCATTTTTTAAACCTATGTATTAAAAAACAATTTCCTGCAGCTTTCTCATCAATGACCTAAGTGTCACTTTGTAGCCCCACATAGAAATAAAAATATAGATTTAGACAGCTTTATCAGAAGAGATTAATCCTAGGTTTGATAGTTTATCTTGAAGATTTGAAGTTTCTTGAACTGGTAAGACATTACATTAAGGATTGAGGTTAAAGGTAGAAATGAAAACGTAAGGAGGGGCATTTTCTGTAAGCAAGAAATTAACCTGATTTTGGGGAAGTTATCCTTATCTATAGCCCAGTTTATTCAGGGCATCAAGTCTTTCTTTCGTTCTTTCTCTCTCTTTAAAATAATAATAAAAATATTTCTGGAAGATTGGTGAAGAACAAATATACTATTATGTTTCTCTTGATTTAAGCTGGTGAAGAAAAATGAACAAATATAAAATGTTTCCTTCTCAGGGAAAGATCATATTTGTCGATTTGTAGGCTGTGGAAGGAATGACAGATTTAATTACGTAGTCATGCAATTGCAGGTGAGTTTTTTACTTTTATTGCTGTGTAAATTGTTAATCATTCACTATGGTTTGTCTTTCTGCATATAAAAAAATGTTTTTCTATTTAAGTGAGAAAGATTGCAAATGAAATCCCAGATATGTTTGATTTACTGTAAGATTATTCAGTTTTAATACGTTTGGATTCTTCACTGATGTTCAGCTTTATCGCTGAAAATATGTATTTGTGAACTGATTGTATATTGTTATGCATTTTCATTACATTTTTAGCTTCATAAGTTTTATTAATTTATAAAAAAAATAAACCAGTAATTTGGCTAACTGTGGAATTATATATACTCTTCAGAAATTGAGAAGCTTTAATCCATTCATCTAAGGTTTGAATAGATTCACTTAACAACCATGTTACTAACATTATCAACTGCAGTGATTTATTTAACAACTGTGGCAAGAAAGGTCGTAACCCACTTAACAAATGTCTCACTTTTCAAATTTTGGGCTCAATTGTGGTTGTAAGTCGAGGTCTACCTGTATTTTTATTAAGAAAACCATATAGATAGAAAATATCAAATGATTGATGATATAGTATTAGATAATGAGCTCTTTGTAATTGTTGACTTGAATACCAAAGTTGAAAATATTAAGAAGAATGTAGTTGTCATCAAACAAATCAACCTAGAGTCCTCACTTGAGGGGCATGGTTGATGGAGGCACTATTGGAAGACTTAAAAGACCAAATTAGGGGTGTGCCATGGGAAAAAAAATCTATCCATATGGTCCTTAACATTTGATGGCACATAATCAAATCACATCCTAAGCTCTTCATTTAATTTCTCCATTGATCTAACACAGGGATAGAGATCCTGTTTGGACTTTGAAATTTTGGGAATATGCCATGGGTGCTTTCATTAGAAGGCTGTCATGAAAGCAATGACTGTCATGGTAGATGTAGGCAATCACAAATACACATTTATAATTAAACTAGTGAGGTATTTCCTGCCACAATACCTAAATCCCTTTAAATTGTGTTTACAACCTCTGCTTGTTCTTGCCTTTTTAAAACAATTTTCCTCTTGCAAGGACTAAGCCAAACCAAAATATCAAGTTACATCTACTTTTATTAGACTATATGTCTAAAGAGAATTTGCTTTATAGCGATGTTGTTCTTTTACTATTACTTGTAGTCAGGGGTGAGTTCTACTTACCTTTACTACTGGTTCACAATGAGAGTGTGTGCGCTTCTGCGCATGCGCAGATCACCCTTGATGATGTCAGGGCGGGTGGGCAGAGCCTCCTGCCGGTTTTACTACCGGTTCTATAGAACCAGACAGAACCGGGAGCAACCCACCACTGCTTGTAGTTGAGGAGGGGAACATACAGATTGCTTTTGCCAATGCTTTTACTCTAACATATGTTTTTTAAAATCAGTAGTAAAATTCACTGGGAATGCTCATTGACACTATATCCTAAACAAAATTAGCCTGTAGCAGCTGAGTAATTAAATTAAATAAAACAGAACCTATGAAATGTTCAATTAAAATGAGCTTCTGTAACTTATTTTATTTGTTCATGGATAGAGAAAAGATAAGGTCATTCATTGATACCAAAATAAGGAACCATTTTGGTACTAAGTAAATTTCTCTGGAAAAGGCATCTATGCTTGAATGCAAAAGTTTGGGCACTCCTAGTCAAGTGTAAGTGAACAGCAGTTGACTTAAGTTATTTTAAGTTATTCAGGGGGCAGTTGAACACAACACCTTTCTCTATAAGAATGCATACTTATACACAGTCAGTGAAGAAACTAAAGCTGAAAAGAAGTTGAAGATTTCATCAAGACAAACATCTGAAATACACCATGAAATCAATAATGAAGCATTAACAGGGAAGAAAGTAAATGATGGAATGACTTACACAATTCTCAGACTGAAATATTATTAAAAATTTGTAGAGAAATCTCAAACATGTAATGAATACAAGATGTTCTAAGTACCGTATTTTCCGGCATATAAGACGACTTTTTAACACATGAAAATCTTCTCAAAAGTCGGGGGTCATCTTATACGCCGGGTGTCATTCTCCTGTAACCAGGCAGACCAGCCCGAAAGGCTCTGATGAGCCTTAAATGGCTCTGGCAATCCAAGCTCTGACGATCCCAGCTTTGCCTGCTAATCAGGCAATGCAGCTGGGATCGCCAGAGCCAGGAAAAAAGTTTTTTCCTTTTACATGGCTCTGGCGATCCAAACTCTGACGATCCCAGCTGAGTTGCCTGCTAATCAGGCAACGCAGCTGGGATCGCCAGAGCCAGGAAAAAACTTTTTTCCTTTTACATGGCTCTGGTGATCCAAACTCTGTTGATCCCAGCTGCGTTGCCTGCTAATCAGGCAATGCAGCTGGGATCGCCAGAGCCATGTAAAAGGAAAAAAGTTTTCCCCCTCCAGCTTGCTTACCTTAGCTGCTAGTCGCAACGCTTGCCTTGCTTCGCTTGCCTGAATCCATTCCATCAGCAAGCCACTCCCTGCCTGCAATCAAGCAGGCAGGGAGTTGTGGACTTCAACTCCCAGAATTCCTCAGCCAGCAAAACAAAGCTGGCTGAGGAATTCTGGGAGTTGAAGTCTACAAGTCTTAAAGTTGCCAAGATTGGAGACCCCTGTTCTATTGGGTAAGTTTTTTTCCCCTTTGGGAGCTTTAAAAAAAAAGTTAATTGGGTTTTTTTTTTAGTTGTTCTTTTTTAGACTTAGCCATTTAAAGTTTAGGAAGTTTTAAATTTAGTTTTCATATAAAAATAAAAATAAAATAAAATAATATTTATGCAGCTTTCTGAGAATTAGTGTGTTTCTGTAGTGTTTCACTCTAACTACACAAGCACACAAAATCTCACAAAGCTGTATGTGGAATTTTGTGTGTGTAAAGTGTGAAAGTTGTTTTTTTGCGCTTTTTGTGGCTGTGTGAGTTTCCTGCTTGTTGCAGGGGCCATTTTGGGTCTAGCACAGCTGCTTTTACATTGTGGGTGAGCCAGTTGTATTGTGTTGTGTTGTGTGTGTGTAAAGTGTGAAAGTTGTTTTTTTGGGCTTTTTGTGGCTGTGTGAGGTTCCTGCTTGTTGCAGGGGCCATTTTGGGTCTAGCACATCTGCTTTTACATTGTGGGTGAGCCAGCTGATGTTTTTTAATTTTTATTTGGTGTGCGTTGGAAGAGGGGTAGTCTTATACGGCAAGTATAGCCCAAACCCTATATTTTAACAGGAAAAGTCGGGGGTCGTCTTATACGCCCAGTCGTCTTATACGCCGGAAAATACGGTACATTTTGGAGGTAGAAGATTTTTATAAAGTGAAAAAGAAATCCAAAACCAAGAATATAGAGGAAACATTTGGAAGCTGCTATTTCTTCCAAAGATCGTGTTACAAAGTGCTGACTGAATGGGTGTTCACATCTTCCATATTTTTGTTTCCTTATTTTGAATCTGCAAATCTCATGTTTTAGTCCTAAATTGTTTAACGGAAAGGTATTGAAGGCAGAACAGGAAGAGGACTTCTCATGTTTTAAAAAGATTTTAAAATAGTATAGCAAGGAAGAACAAGCAAAATATATACTTTTTTCCTAAAATCATTTGATATTTTAGCCATTGAAATCCTGTCCTCCTTAAATTTGCCAGGAAAAAAATAATTCTAATATGCAGTCAGGTTACCTGCTAAATGTTGATTACCAAAAGAAGATGAGAAAAAAAAATTCTGGATGTTAGTGTTTTTGTTTCTTTCAGGGGCGGAATTTGGCAGATTTGCGTCGAAGCCAAACTAGAGGGACTTTCACAATTAGTACGACATTGCGTCTTGGGAAGCAAATTCTGGAGTCTATTGAGAGCATTCATTTGGTGGGATTTTTACACAGAGATATTAAACCAGTAAGTTTCTCCATATATCAAAACCAAGAATTTACTTAAAGTTGCAATTGTTGACATAGCACAGCATCTTATTAGATCTAAATAAATCTGATCTGAAATTATAAAGATATCTGTGCCTATTTTAAAAACTAATAATTAATTGTTTATCAGTTTATCAATGTTATCACTTTTCAGTTAACATTACCTCAACATATGTAATTATTTTGTCTAACAATTGCTATGAGCCTAAAAACATGTTCTTAATATAAAAAAGCTAAAGTTGATTACCTCAACTACTACGACTATATTAACATTTTTCTTCAGTGAAGTCAGCAAATTCTGCAGAGGATGACTCAGGGTCAGGGTTAGAAATTAACCATTTCCCATTTGACTCAGGGACAGGGTTAGAAATTATTTCTGACATATCTTCCTGTATAAAGAGATATCACCTCTCCCATATTTGACCTTGTCTTATCCTAAAGAGCATGCAAGCTCATCAATTCTTCCAAGTACTTTCTCATTCTAGAGATCTTCCATTATTTTTTTAGCTTCATTCTTTTCATTCTTTTCTCTTACTAAACACCTGATAACATGATAAACAAACTCATGAACAGCGTCTCTTGATTGGCTGGTCTCCATATAGGTATCAACTTGTTCTCTTTCCCAGAGATGCCAGCTAACACTGCAGCTGTGGAATCACTGGCCATAAGATCTACAACAACAGGAGGGTCTGTTACCACTCCTCCAGGGAGCCAGATCACCCTTGTACAAAAGATGATTGAAGCTTACAGAGTGATTTGTCCCATTTACTGAGGGAGCAGCTCTCTCAACTGCTGCTGTCTCTGCTGATTCTTCCAGGTAACATCTCTGAAGCTCCCATGGCCTTCTGATCCCTGAAGATTGTCAGAGGCCAAATTAACCTCTCTGGATTAGGCCCATGCTAATGACCACTCACCCCTCTGGAAAGCCCATTTTGTGATTCTCAACTGGATTGAGCTGTGCAGAGAGGGAAGGGGGGACGGAAAACAGTACTGTTCTATTTCCCTCCTCCCCCTTTCTCCTTTGAAACAACATCTGTGGACCCTTACCCAGAAGTCAGTGCCTAGACATCTATCACAAGGAGAAGAGCTGGACCATCAAAGGAAAGATGGGCACCCAGCCTCACTTGCTTTTGCACATGAATCAGAGAATTCCCTGCAGGACAAGTTAGATACAGAAGAAGAGAGCTATCCCTGGAATAGGAAGATGCCCAGTCAGTCTCCAAATCCATCAGGCCTTTAAAAAAACAGACTTCCACAGCTTCTCAAAACAGTCTGCAAGTTCCAGATTTCAACAAACCAGAATACTCTGGCATCACAGAATCCAGTGAGTCTATGAGCAACAGAAATGTTCCCTGTAGCTAGTAAATCTATCTCAACAAAGTATTTAAGGCAGAAGGGAAGAGGGCATGATGTGAAGAATGGCTCCTTTCTGTCTGCTGAACTCTGTCCTAGATCTGTTCAACCTCCTCAGTGCCTACCTTCATGGGAACATAGAAATTAAAGATGGGGAAGGTACCTGCAAATACCAGGGGACAGGAAAATAGAGATTCTGCAGCACAGAAAACAGCCCTAGCCACAATGCCTTAATATTTGGACAGACAACTAAACTGTCTAGACCCTAAAGAGCATAGATAGGGATGAACAAATCTATTGTTATGGTGGGTGCTCATCAGAACAATGCCCAATTTATAATCACAGGCATGGCAGCTAACTTGGTCACCAGAACATAGGATAATTTTGCATTTAGAGTCTAATATTGGGCCAGTTCAAGGGAGAAAAGCTGTATGGAGAGACATAAGACCAAAAGAAAGTTCTGGTCTTGAAGCCCATGAATTATCTTTGCAGCACATTATTATGATCTTGTCTGAATCTTCTGAGTTAGAAGAACAACAATCTAATGGATTGACAATCTGAAGAGGCAGAAGGCAAAGAAACACCCTGAGAAGATTCTGATACAGATAACGAGAGGCCAGATGGCAGAATCTGAGAACATGCCAACAGTTATGAAGGGCTGAGCAAAGGTAACCTGGTGCTGTATAAGAGCAATGCACTTGGTACCAGTTCAAGACCCTCCCATTTGTCCTGTTGTCATCTTCTATGGTATTCATGTACAAAATGATTTTTGTAGCCTATCTCAGATCCTGGGGTAAACACATATTCTCTTATTTAAATGATGTGTTCATCCAATCCCTATAGATTGAACAGGGGAGAAAGGACATTAAGATCATAGTGCCGATCCTTAAGGACCTGATCGTTTTAATCAATGAAAATAAGAACATCTTTCTAATAATACCATCTCTGTGCCATTCTGGACACAGAAAGAGACCTTATCTAGCAAATAATTCAACAAGCTTCATGACTCTAATAGCCTTCAGGCCAGATGATCAGTACCATGGCCAGATTCCATTCCTCTCTATTGATGCCCTAACCCTAACCCTTTCCTGAATTGAATATCCCTAAGATGTCTGAAATGCCTAGATCTGAAGGTGATGACTCAAGTTGTGGCTGTCTCTATTCAGGAGAAGGAACGTATATTTCTCCCTACAGGTCCAGCTGATCATAGACATCAGTGTTAGGGAACAGGGTGCACACTCTATAAACCCTATACAGAGAAAAGCCCAAGACAGCACAAACATTTTCGGGCTGTATGCAATATGAGATCTGTGAGCAAGGTCCAAGCCTTCCTGAAATACCAGTATTTCTTTATGATCTGGCTAAACATTATCATTTTGTGCCTAGACACAATTTTCATGACTAAGATCGTAAATTTGTTATTTTACTACCGTGTTTCCCCGAAACTAGGACCTGTCCCGATAATAAGCCCAATTGGGCTTACGACAGCATGCACTAAAATAAGCCCCCCCAAATATAAGCCCCCCAGTATTTAGACGCATGTGCAGCTGCCGTGTAAACAACACGGCATGAGGAGGTGAGGCCAGAGAGGAGCCTGGCCGGCCGGGGGGGATCAGGTGAGCCTACAGTCCCAACGAGCAGATTTTGCAAGCAACCTCCCTCCCTGCCCCGATGGGAAGGCAGCACTGGGGGCTCCCGCTTTGCTTCCCTGCCCGCCTGCCCGGCTCCACACAATGGGAGGGCACGGAGAGTTCCGCCACTTTTCCGCATGGAAAGGAGCCCCCCGTGGGTGGGTGGTGATCGGTCCTCATGGATGCCAAAAACCCTGTGGCGGAGGAGGAAGAGCAGGGAGGGGGTCTCTCAGCTAGCCCTGGGGTTGTCAGGGGAGAAGGGGGGGTCGCCTTCCCCTTCTGCCCACTGCCCGCATCCCCAACCTAACCTCGCCCTCGGCAAACCTTTTTTTTTGTGTGTGGGTCGGATGCTAAAAACGGCCTCAACCCGCCAGGACTGGAGCTCTGAAACGGGACTTGATAAGAGGAGCTAATTGAAAGGTTAATTGGCATGGGTGCTGACAGCCAAGTCCCTCCCCGTTCTGTCTGTCTCTCTCTCTTTTTTCTCTATAATCTGCTATTGGCAAGCGGGAAACAGAGTGGCTTAGGGGGAGGGGGGGCGGCGAGGGGGCTGCTCCGATGAACCCACCATCCGGGTTAAATGCTCGGGCGGTGGAAAGGGGGGGTGGGAGAAGGCAGCCACCACCAAGACGATGCTGATGCCGGGATGCCAGAGTCTCCAGGGCTCCAGCGTCCGACTTAGCCAACCAATGAACAGAACCCGGAGAAGGGAAGGAGGAAGAACAGGAGGCGTCCCACTCGATGCATCTCGCTTCTCTGCTGCCCCACCCCTCCCCACCTGCCACTCCCCCTCACTGGCCGAGATCGGCAAGCCAGATTTGGGGAGCTGAACACGCTGCCGCCGCCCGGGAAGACAGTAATGTGAGCTCTCTTGCAGGCCTCCTCTCTCTCTTCTTCTCCCGAGTCCAGCTCACCGAATCTGGCCTGCCGAGATTTAAGGATAAGACCCCCGATAATAAGGCCAAGGCCATATTTTGGGGGTCAAAAGAAAATAAGACCCTGTCTTATTTTCGGGGAAACACGGTAGGCAGGGGTTTATCCGCTCTTTTGTCCCAATTCTAAGACCCTATTATAGAAAGTTTGAGACATGCGCATGACAAGTGAGCCATTAGGGCAGGGGTCCCCAACCCCTGGTCTCTGAGACTGAGTAGCTTTGGGTGTAGAGCTGCAGCTTCTGGGACCTTAACATCTTTAGTTTTGGATGGTGTCGCTCTGCTCCAGACAGACCCATTGTGCAACTTGAGGGTTCTCCTAAACTGTTTGATGAGCAGATGGCAGTTGTGGCTAGAAGAGTCTTTGTGCAACTTCGTGTTGTGTGCCAGCTGTGGCCTTTCATGGATCAGGAGTCCCTATGCTCAATCACTCAAGTTCTGGTCATCTCACAATTGGACTATTGCAATGTGCTGATGGATAAGAAGGCCAAGAGTCAGGACATGAACTTTCATCATCAAGAATTGTCCAAGGACAGCTGGACACTTTCCCAAATTGACTTCTAAATTATAGCTATATCCTTGACAAGACTGATGCTGGTCAAAGTCTAACACTTTTAAGTTATAAAATAGGAAATCAAAAAAGGATCTCTGCGTGTAAGCAGGAACAACTGTGTTGGGGATGTGTATGTAGAGCCTTTCCATGGTATAGATTGCCAGTTTGTTTACTGCTGTTTTGCCTGCTGCTTCTCTTTTCTTCATTGAAAACCTTTCTGAAAAAGCTCCAAGGCAATTTTTCATAAATCTAATTACTAATTTAGATAACTTATCTGCTTACATTGGAGCAGTTGGAGAAATCATGTTGATGTGTATCTCTAATTAGCTGTGGTGGAACTGAGAAATTTATGAGGGGGACAATTGTATTCAAGCTTTGATTCAGTCTATATTAAAACTCTTGTTCCTGCACCCTTTAACTGGGTGAAATGATGCATCATAGGGCAACTATTTTTAAACCAAGGTACCTCAAATGAGCTAATTTAGAGAATATGTCCAAAATCCAGGACTCAAGATTCCTGTGGAATTGAAATTTGGCAAATTTTATAAACCATTTTATGACAAAAATGATCATAAAACGGTTTATGGCATAATAGAAATGTGGTAAAAAATTTCGGTGCTGATTGTTGACTGTGCTGTTCAGCATGGGCTATTGTCAAGGCACATACATCTCTAAATGTTTTCCAATGAAAGCAGAACATTAGACGTTCTGTAATTTTTGAAGGCATTAAGGAATCTGCTAAGGAAATATCTCTCGAAGGATGACCCAACTGGTCATGAGTTGTCTAATAAATTTATGAAATTATTGTACTATGTGTATCACTTCCTTCTGTGCTGATTGCGCTATTGGGAACAAAGATTCTGAGAGAAGAGAGAAAAACTTCTCTATGATCTCCCCCAAGATAAATGGTAGGATATCGTAACTCTCCTTTATTTTCAACCTTTCTAAAAAAAAAATCTTCTACTGAATGATTTCTGGCTTGTCATTCTGATACTGGAAAAGGAAATATCTCCTTCCACGGAAGCAACTGAAAATTCTTTCTAGCCTTTGTCTTTGGATCCCATGAGGATAGATAAATGTTGTAACCCTTTCAATAGATCACTCTCACTTTTCCTCAAGCTGGGAGGAAATTCTAGATTCAATATTACACAATTTTCTCTGTATAATAGAGGACTAACTATTCTTTCTAATCAGTGAGCTTTCCTTCTAAATAACAATAGCAGTTATAATACAGAAGCAACAATAATAATTTGTGATTTCAATATCAAATCAATTCATCTACTATTTTTCTAAATAGGTATAATTAAAATATATGAAATGAAAGCTGATGTTATATTGTTTCATCTGTACATTCTAAACTTTTTTTTTTCCTTTTTAGTCTAATTTTGCTATGGGACGCTTTCCTAGTACTTGGAGGAAGTGTTATATGCTGGATTTTGGCTTGGCACGTCAGTTTACAAACTCATGTGGAGATGTCAGACCAGTAAGAAATTTTAATCAAAGTTTCAAAAATAAATAATACCTAATTAAGTGTGATAATGTGACTAATAATGTGAATTATTTAATGAATACATTTTTCAGGATGATTTTGGAAAAAATCAAGTTTATAGTATATAATTTTGCCAGTACTGTAAAGAAAAAAAATGTAATCATATTCTAATTTTATCCTGAGGTATTATCAAACCTTAGCTTCTGAATACTTTGTTTAGGAGGAGAAACAGATTTCACATGATAAATACAAATACATGTATTTTTATTACATGGGGTTTTAAAGCAAAATTGGTACTGGTCTTACAAGATTCTAGCATTCATTTCAGTTTGTGAATACCAAGGAAATGGATAGGGTTCTTTGCAGCATGAGGTTAGCCAAGTGGTGAAATCTAAAATTTGTTACTACCGGTTCTGTGGGCGTGGCTTGGTGGTGATGGGGTAATGTGACGGTGGGCGTGGCCATTTTTTTTTTTTTACTTTTAAAACCATTTTTTCTACAACCTCTTCGGCGAAGAATTGTAAAAAAAATGCTTTCAAAAGGCTCTGACGATCCCAGCTGAGTTGCCTGATTGGCAGAGACTTTTTTTTTTAAATGCCTCTGATGATCAGGCAACTCAGCTTGGATCGTCAGAGGCATTTAAAAGGAAAAAAAACCCCTTTTTTTCTTTTAAATGCCTCTGATGATCCAAGCTGAGTTGCCTGATCCTTAGAGGCATTTAAAAGAAAAAAAGTCTCTGCCGATCAGGTAACTAAGCTTGGATCGTCAGAGGCATTTAAAAGAAAAAAAGGGTTTTTTTCTTTTAAAAGCCTTTGATGATCCCAGCTGAGCCGTGCGATCATCAGAGGCTTTTTTTTTTTACTTTTAAAAGCATTTTTTCAGCTGAAGAGGTTGTAATTTAAATACTCCAACCGAACACAAGAGCCTCTGATGATTGTGCGGCTCAGCTGGGCATGGGGGGGGCAGGGATTTTTGCTACCAGTTCTCTGAACCACCCGCCTCCATCGCTACCAGATCGTGTGATCCAGTTCGAACTGGGAGCACTTCACCCCTGGATTAGCCACCTGTGACCTGACTATCTGCTCTGCCTGGTTCTTTTGGACGGTTGGAGTATGTGTGCACAGATATTTAGATTAGGTTATCCTTTTGGGGGTCAGGGAGGAGGAACCTACTGACTGCCTTGAAAGAAATAAGTTTTGTCTTGGTCCAACCATGTTGGAAAATATTGCCCATTCTGGGGGCCATGTCAAATAGGACTACCATACTTCCAGAGTGAATCACATAGTTCTAAATCCAGCTCTCAGAACTGAATCAAATATCTCTGCATACTTCACTGGAGAGTCATTTGATTGAGCTTGGAAAATGAATGAATGAATGAATGAATGAATGAATGAATGAATAAATAAATAGTTCTAATAAGAACTTATTTACCAAGTTTCCCGGAAAATATGACCCTGTCTTATATATTTTTTAACCCCGAAATAAGTGCTTGACCTTATTTTCGGGGAGGCCTTATTATTTTGGGATGCATGGAACAAGATGGGGCTCCTCTTGCTGTTTTACCTGATTTCCAGCTCTGCATTTAAATTTTTTTTGGGGGGGGAGGCTTATTTTAGCGCATGCGCTCAAAAACCTGATTGGGCTTATTATCAGGGGATGTCTTATTTTCAGGGAAACCGGGTAGTTATTTCTAAGAATGAAGGGAATATGTAAAAATTAATTCAGATTCTTCCTTTCCTTCCATGGTTAAAGATTTGAAGTGACTTTGAGATATTCTCTAGTGACTTTTATTAGGGAGCAACATCTTCCAATATCTTGACAGTCTTCCAGACAAGAATTTGGATTCTGACTTTCACCAGCTACAAATTCTATTGTGAATACGCTTCAATTGTGAATATGCTTCAGTTAATTCCATGCCATCTTTACCAGAATCTTTGACAAATGTTAACTCAAAAGTTGCAAAATATCCCTGAATTTCTCTGAGAAGAAACATTAAAGTTTCTTTTCATTTGACAGGCAAACTGTTAGGTAGAAGATGAAAGGGAAAAAATAAAATAGTAGAAACAGTTATTGAACTGATTGATTCAGATGATTGGAAATGGTCATCAATTTAATTGAGATTAACGATTACTAATACTGTGCTCTAAAATAAATATAATGGACATTAAAAAGGGCTTTTATATACGCTGGACCAGGTTTCATTTTTGGCAGGGTTAGGGCTAGAGCTCCCAAAATTTATGCTTCAAGAATCCTTTGTTTTCAGCCTTTTCCGAGGATTTCAGAATAAAACTGACCACATAGGAGCCTTGGTAGTACAGTGGTTTAATGCACCCTGTAATTAACACAGCTGCCTGCAATTTCTGCAGGTTCGAATCTTACCAGGCTCAAGGTTGACTCAGCCTTCCATCCTTTCTAAGGTAGGTTAAATGAGGACCCAGTTTGTGGGGGCAATAAGCTGACTTTGTATAAATATACAAAAGTATGAAGGCTATTGCTTAACGCATTGTAAGCCGCCCTGAGTCTCCGGAGAAGGGCGGCATATAAATCAAATAAAAAAAAAAAATAAATAAAAAAAAAAAATAAATGTTTCATTAAGTTTGTTCATTTGGATAAATAAAGGTTTCTTTAATTGACTATGTTTCAAAATTGATGTAGATAAACAATTCTCAAAACATTTTAGTTTCAAGACACCTTTTGCATTCTTCAAAATGATTGAGTACCCCAAAGAGCTTTAGTTTATGTGGCTTACTATCATTTGGACCTGAATAACTGGAGCACTTCCTTCTCCCAAAAAGATCTGTTAGGATGGGCTTGCAACAAGTGCCATTGATAGAGAGACTGGCATCTTAGAAACCATATAAGAATGGATCTGTCAGTTGCCACCCCGCAATGTCTGAGCAGACCTTTCCCTACTGGTGTTTAGAAAGCTGCTAAAAAGTGTTTGTTTTTTTAAAGATAAGCAACCTGCACTGTTTTTTAATTGCCTCTTGGTCATGAGATTGGGTGCTATTTATTACTACTAATGTTTTTATTCATGACTCCTGTTCCATAAAAATATTTGTAACTGTTGCTTTTTAAGATTTAATACAAGTATTAATCCCAGTTATGAATTGAAAAGTTGATGCCACTCAAGAGTTGCTATATTAGATTATACAGTATTACTGTTTTGTTAATATATAGTATTATCAACTAATAATTAAAGTTTTTTAAAGAAGTGTTAATAATAATGTCCTATGGTATAATATTCTTAAATATTTTTAAAAAAAATTATTACAATTGTGCACAGTGAGCCTCCCATCAATTCTGGCTCCCAACCATCAAGGTTTTGTGGGTGGAAGTGTCAAACAGTTTGGAAAAAAATTGCCAGTTGTGGAGTTTGTGATGCAATGGATGCTTAACTGGAAGCCCAGTTTGCATTTTAAGATGTTAAGTTGAGCTGTGGTTGCGCAGTGGTTAGAATGCAGTATTACAGGCTACTTCTGCTGATTGTCAGCTGCCAGCAGTTCAGCAATTCGAGCGTCATTGGCTCAAGGTTGACTCAGCCTTCCAACCTTCCGAGATCAGTAAAATGAGGACCCAGATTGTTGGGGGCAATATGCTGACACTGTGAACTGCTTAGCGAGGGCTGTAAAGCACTGTGAGTCTTAAATGCTGTTGCTGTTAAATGTTTTTGAATATCGGCTTTTGTCTGCCAAATCTTCGAGCAATTATAGCAAGCTTTTGATTAGAATGAAGCAATATAGACATAATTTTGCAATATTGTGCTTTTATTTTATTTACCTTTGTAACTGTGGAAATTTTGATGTGTATTGTGTATACTTTTCAAAAATAAACAAACTACTCTGCTCAATGTAACCCTGATTAAAAGTGTGATTGGCTGTGGCAGGCAAAACTACCAGTGCAAAATGTTTATCTTCAGAATGGATAAATATTGTATTCCAGTGTTTATCAACCTTGGCAACTCTGAGATGTATGGGTTTCAACTCCCAGAATTCCCAACCCTGGGAGTTAAAGTCCATGTTCTAAAAAATGCCTAGGTTGAAAAACACTACTACATTGTGTAGGCCTAAATTTGATCTCTTATGCATGCCCATTCGGATTGACTTTGCCAGGGTCATTTTAGATGTCTGTTTTGGAGCTCCATCTCCAGAGCTCCTCAGTAAACCTAGAAACCCCTGGTACTGGCAGACAGGGAAAGGCCACCTGGGAGCTATTCTGTTGAGGGTTTTTGTCACCTCTGTATCAGACCTCACCCTGCTGATCTCCTGGTAATAGATTTGATACATAAGATGCCATAATGCTTGACTTTGCTGTGTAAAAAAAGAAAAGTGGCAAAACAGTAAAATAACATCTGATTAAATTAATTTAATCTGATTAATTTTTTTTGTAAGTTACTTAAAATGTGATTAAGATATGTATCTTTGTCTTCTTAAATCCAACTTATATTAGAGGTAGTCGTTCACTGATGGCTTAGCAACTCTTCAAAGTTATACCAATTTGAAAAAGGGAACTCACAACCCAAAATTAAAGTTCTTACGGTCAGTTCCCCACCCCCAGTCATGTGACTGGATTTTGGGCACTCGGCAACATGAATGCATTTATTGCCATTTGCAGTGTCCCATGGTAACCTGTGTTTTATGGTGGTCTTGCTAAAAATGGCACATCCGAGTTTTGACAAAACCATGCCTACAGTGAACCATTAGTTCCCTTAATGATTGTGGCGTTTGCTTAATGACCACAGCATTCATTTAATGACCACCATGGGTGCCTGTTCACTTAACAAATGCTGCAAAAAAGGTTGTAACATTTTACAATCATTACAACATATAACTGTAATGGGCAGGCTCCATTATGGTCATATGTTAAGGACTACCTTGTAGCAGAATCATTAAAGTATGTTAAAGAAGTGCATTATCAGCAGAGGGAAAACTCCAAAGTAGATGATCAAAATTGTTTGTATCAGTTTTTTTATAAATAGTCAATATTTACTGACTTACTCTGGAAAACGGACTCTTTTTTTTCTTTCTCTTCTTAAATTAATAGCCCCGAGCTGTTGCTGGTTTTAGAGGTACAGTGCGGTATGCATCAGTCAATGCTCACAGAAATAGAGTGAGTATGACCATTTACATTAACCTGAATATTTAAAACTGAAAATTATGCATGAAGTGTCTGTCATAATTCCTCCCTTTTCTGTATTTTTAAGGATGCTATATAAAAACCTGACATGTCCTGAACTTGTCCAACTATTGCCATATTTTATGCTGAAATCCATAGTTCGTTAACAAGTTTAGATGGATCTTTGCTAGTTAAAGGTGCATAAATTGAATATATTTTGCAATGTGTGTTTATGTGTTTATAAATAAATATATAAATTAAAAATAAAAATAAATTTAAAAAATTAAAAAAGAGATTTGTCAGGATACTCTGAACTCAGCATCAGTGTGGGAAATATACTGGAGATCCAGTAGAGCAGTGATTCTCAACATGTGGTGCGCGGACCTCTGGGGGGCCATGATGTCATCACAGGGGGGCCATGAAGGCTTGAAGAAATGTTATGATTTAAATCTTAAGTCTTGGGGGTCTGTGGTCATGGTCCATGGCCAAAAAGGGTATTTAAAGGGGAACCTGTTTTAGTGAATTCTCTTGAAATCTACAAAATTTCTTCTAGTACCTCCATTGTACCAGTGTCTCAATACTATCTGGGTCTGAGCAGATGGAATTAACAATTCAGTCTATCAGTTGTGAGATACTGATCCAGTCTCATTTCAATTAGATCAGGTTTTTCTTTTCTTTCATTTCTGATCCATTATCCTGTACTGAAAGAAATAAACAGGTTTATTCAAAGAATCACAGAGATTACTATCTTGTTTTTCTTCTCAGTCAGGCCTGATGAATTCCCTCTTTGCATAGCTTGTTACTATTATTGGAGTGGCATTAAAATTTTATTTATGTGTATCATTAGTCACATATTGAAATAAGCAATATTTCTGTTGATACAGTTTGGTATTCTGACATTGGATTATATTAGATAGGAGTGCAAAATACAGAAGATCAACATGCAGTTTTCTTTTTTTCTATAGGAGATGGGACGTCATGATGATCTTTGGTCTTTGTTTTACATGTTGGTGGAGTTCGTTGTTGGACAACTGCCCTGGAGGAAAATTAAAGACAAGGTTTGTTCAGAAATATAGCAATTGAGATATCTTGAGGATTAACAGTGAGACTTAATTTAAGATATCTGATAATTTGTTATTTAGTAGCATACATGATAAGTTATTTTCATTAGAATTTCATATGGTGAATGACTTAATCCTTGTCTGCTTCTAGGAGCAAGTAGGCTCTATAAAAGAGAGGTATGATCACCGTCTGATGCTGAAACATCTTCCTCAAGAATTTAACATCTTTCTAGACCACATTTCTTCTTTAGACTATTTTACTAAACCTGACTACCAGGTATGACTTCTGTGCTATGACTTGCAAATCTTCTTTCTTTCTTAATATTTTAGTTATATTGATTAAATATAACTATTTTGTAAGCTTTCATTGCTTGCTTTGAGGATTTTATATGTTCCAATCTACATTTTGTTAAAACCATGTTAAATTCATGTTATATTAAAAGTGTCTGCCATTCCTTGTTGGCTATATTTTAATTTGAATATTGGCTTTCTATTTTTATATTTCTATTTAATTAGTTTCAATTTTTATATTTCTATTTAATATTTTAATTTTTTTGCTTTGAGAGGCTTACCACCTCAAAATCATAGAATAAATCTATAATCAATAATCCAGGCAAAATGTATATTATCATAAGTAAATCTCAAATGTAAAAAACTGAGTTACTTTCCTAGTATTGAGTTGCTGTCTTACATGTCATTATAATAGCATGGACTTGGCTACCTGTTGAAGCAGGTAGACAGAGGGTGAAAAGGGGTAAAAATAGTAGCACATAACTATTTTCTTATAAATTCAGTTTAGGTTATTTTTTCTCTTGGAGGAAAATTATTTTAAGATCCTGTTATATTTGTGATACTCACAGGATATTTAAATCTCTTATCCTCCTCCTATTAACCTGGACATGCAGTAGCTAGAATTCTTACAAGCAGTGTCAAGAAATTTATAGGTGAGGCTATGTGTTGGATAGAAGAATAATAGTAATGTTTAATGTTATCTAATAATAAATATACTATGAAGATCGGGTATAAAGCAGTGGTGGGTTCCTCCCGGTTCGGCCTGGTTCTCCCGAGCCAGTAGCAGTGACAATATGACTTCACCGAACCGGTTCTGCCCCCCACCCCCCACCCCCCGCGTTATTCTTACCTTTTATTTGGCCCCACCCCCAATCTGTTGCTGCCTCCCGAGCCCCAGCTGATGGCTAGAGTGGAAAAAACTGTTTAAACTCTTGCCGCGGGGCTTCAAAGGGCTGCCCTACAGCTGATCAGTGTTAAAAGAAAACAAATGAGTAGACCAGTGCCTGCAAAAATACATGAGTAGATCAGTGCCTGCAAAAATAAATGGGTAGATCACTGCCTGCAAAAAATAAATGGGTAGATCGGTACAGCTCTGCAAGCAGTTAAAAGCCTGGTAGACCAATACCTCTGCTAAATCCTAAATAATTGTCACATGACCATCAAGCCACGCCCACAAAATAAGCCATGCCCACAGAACCGGTAGTAAAAAAAATTTAGAACCCACCCCTGGTATAAAGGTCTACTTTCAGACAATGTCAGAACAGAATTTTCAAAAAGTTGTTTGAAAAAATAATTGACACTAAATGTAATTCCTTTCTTTGTTTTTATAGCTTCTCATGTCCGTTTTTGATAACAGTATGAAGAATTTTGGGGTGACAGAGAGTGATCTGTTTGACTGGGAAAAAAGTGGGGCTGATGGTTCTCTCACTACTACCACCACTTCCACTACTCCTCAACTGCATACTCGACTGACCCCAGCTGCTATAGGGTATTTTGAATCATTTCTTTGGATGTTAAATGAATTAGCATTTCAAGTTATCAGTGCTTCTTCATGGATGATAGGATTGCAATTATTATGGAAACAGATACTCCTTCATAATAAAATGCTGACAAATCTTAACCACTTAAATAAGATTATCAACCTCATGTTAAGATCAAACATTTAAGATTAAGTTCATGCATCTCAAGATTAATTGATGGATCCAGATTCAATATTCTGTGTCAGATATTTAGAATGGTGTCTTGTAATAACTTGCATTTGATCACTTTGACTAAGATGATAGAAGATTATCTATGTCTTTTGGAAGAAAAGGGTTGTCTCCAAATTGCTGTCTTCCAGCGGTGTCAGGAAATATTCATTTATAATATAGCCAGGTTGAAAACAGTTCAGATGGCATGATGTAATTGGGAAGAAATTCAAAACAAGCAATCTTTATTACACAATTCATTCTAATGGTTATTACATGGTGGCGGAAACTAGAGGCAAAAGTGATGGAATAGTATCACCTCTCCTGTTCCTTATCTTAATGGGGTAGCATGCTAGCTGTAAATTATGATACCTTCATAAGCAAATGGAAACCTGGAAGTTAGGGAAGATTGTTTTAGCATTACTGAAGCTACTATGGAATTTCTAAATTTCAAGATGCATTTAAAATTTTACTTTCTACAATCCTTCTAATCTTTTTGGTTTGATTAAAATGAATGTCTATTTATTGTTTTCCAAATTAGTACTTAAGAAGGTCACATAGTATTGACCTTCTAACAAACAAAGAGACAACACAGGTGAAGTGATAGGCCAGATAGTATCAGAACTAGATCTCTGAGGTCTTTAGAAGCTTGCAGTTTACATAAAAATATAATTCAAAAATTGGGAAAAGCATCATATAATGCATTTTTGCAAGACCTACAGATCTTAGGTAGATCTTGATATATTGTCCACAGTAGTGGATTAGAAGTATTTGTGTTTGCATCTTCCTGTTATTGAGATTATATCTGCTGGCATATAGGATGACATCTAATTATAGATGTTATAGTTTGTTGATTTAAAGACATTATAGTTTGTTGATCAGTTGATCTTCTACACCAGAGATGGCTAACCTTTCTGCTGTCGTGTGCCAAAAGTGGGGGAAGCATGGGGGGGTTGCACGTGCCCACACCCATAATGCAATGCCCCCGTGTGCTCCTCCGCACATGCGCGCACAACCCCCCCGCCCCCCACCCATGCACGTGTGAACCCCCACGTATGTGTGTGCGCCTCCCACATGCACCCCGCCCCTGTGCCAGAGACCGGAAAATCAGCTGGCCAGTGGGAAGTGCCCACACATGTGCAGTGGAACTGAGCTGGGCAACGGCTCGCATGCCCGCAGAGACGGCTCTACGTGCCACCTGTGGCACGCATGCCATAGATTCGCCATCACGGTTCTAGACAATTCTGCATATGCATAACAAAATTGTTCTTGAGATTTCTGTGTGTCTGACTGTAGGTGTGCATGAAAAATAGACTTCTTGGAGATGTTTAATACCATGTCTTGAATTCCTGGTAGACCCGATTAACGACTGCTTTCCTTATGAAGCCAATTCTTCCTCTTTTAGAAGAGGATGAATAAGAGCCATAACTCTGCATCCTGTCATCTAAGGCAGAGAGGAAAATGTCAGTTTAGAAAAAAACTTGGGACATCTTTAGTATTAATTTTCACTTTTTTATACATAGAATTGCCAATGCTACGCCAATACCAGGAGATTTATTACGAGAGAATACAGATGAAGTATTTCCCGATGAACAACTCAGTGATGGTGAGAATGGTATCCCTATTGGAATCTCACCAGAAAAGTTACCAGAGTCCCCTGGACATCGTCTTCAGGAAAAGGATGTGTGGGAAGAAATGGATGCTAATAGGAATAAGATTAAATTGGGCATACATAAAGTAAGTATTGCAGTTGAATAAATGATAACATTTACTTTTTCTCACATTAACATGTAAATATACAGTACATCTTATTTTTCCAGCAATGACTAATCAGGTATCCATGGAAAATGAATAAACTGAGTATGATGAACAAAACCATTTAATTTGTCCCTGATGTGAGCTAGATAGCTAGATAGCTAGATAGGAAGGAAGGAAGGAAGGAAGGAAGGAAGGAAGGAAGGAAGGAAGGAAGGAAGGAAGGAAGGAAGGTTTCATTTCTAGTTGTTAACAGTGCTGCTGAAACTAAATAGAATAATATTGATCTGTTTCTAAAAATTTTGAATGTTTCAATGAATTTCTTAAGACAATGAAATGGCTTTGTCTTCATGTAGTGCTAATAGTCTTGGTCCCTTCTCCCTACTGTTTATAGTGCTAATCAGTTAAGAATTTTAATATCAGTGCATATCTCACTAGAAGTACAGTAGTGCTCGACTAATGCCTGGTAAATAACACCCAAACAGATCAGATGCAACATGAGGGGAGAGTTGACACACACACACACACACACACGACTGCTGTTCAGTCATGTCTGATTCTCAAAGACTGCAGAGACTGCTTGGAAATGTTCTTGCACTTTTCCTGGCAAGGTTTCCCAGGGCTGAGAGAGAGTGACTGGCCCAGGGTCACCCAGCTCATTTAAGAATGAGAGAAAATGGGAATTACAATGATAATGAAATGTAGCAGGTTAGAGCAACAAAAAGTAGAATGTTTGAAGAAAATAGGTACAGGAAGGAAATTTAGGAGTAGGAAGCTAAGGAGGCTACATGAGCTCATGAAAATTGGGTGAACAGATCTACTGTAGTTAGATGAGCTAGTGGTCAAACTTGATATAAAATAGCTGTTTATGTTAAATCGTGTTTCTAAAACCTTCAGACAATTTTGTAATAACTGATTTTTAAATAGAGGGAGCGTGCCAGAACTGTTTTTAAAATCACATTTGGAAAATACTTTGTATAAAAATTATCTTACATTCAAGTATTTTGATAAGATTGGGATGTTATCCTTATGTTAATTTATTTTTTATATTGTGACACTCCTTTATAGGCTACTACAGAAGAAGAAAACAGTCATGGGCCAATGAATGGAATGTTTACTGCACCAAGCCTTGGTTCTCCAATTAGAGTCCGTTCAGAGACCACACAGCCAGATCGGGATGTTCCTCTGGTACGAAAGTTACGATCAATCCACAGTTTTGAACTGGAGAAGCGCCTGACTTTGGAGTCAAAGCCAGATGCAGATAAATTTTTGGAAATATGGTAGGTAATGGTTTGTTTTAGGCAGATTTTCCTTTGCAGCTATTTGGTTTGGTTTTGTCTATGGGTGTGTATGTATATAATTCTCCACTGTTGTTTAATTAGAATATCTGCAGTAACTAATTAGAATTAGTAATTCTAATTAGTAATTAGTAATATGCATACATAGCAGGGGTGAAATGCTCCTGGTTTGGACCGGATCGCCCGATCCGATAGTGATGGAGGCGGGTGGTTCGGAGAACCAGTAGCAAAAATCCCTGCCCACTCCCCCTGCTCAGATGAGCCGTACAATCATCAGGGGCTTTTTTTTTTACTTTTAAAAGCATTTTTTCTACAACTTCTTTGGCCGAAAAAATGCTTTTAAAAGAGTTCGACGATCCCAGCTGAGTTGCCTGATCGGCAGAGGCTTTTTTTTCTTTTAAATACCTCTGATGATCAGGCAACTCAGCTTGGATTGTCAGAGGCTTTTAAAAGAAAAAAAGCCTCTGCTGATCAGGCAACTCAGCTGGGATCGTCAGAGCCTTTTGAAAGCATTTTTTTACAACCTCTTCGCCGAAGAGGTTGTAGAAAAAATGATTTTAAAAGTAAAAAAAAAAAAATTGGCCACGCCTATCCAGTCACATTACCCCTACCACCAAGCCACGCCCACAGAACCGGTAGTAACAAATTTTAGATTTCACCACTGATACATAGATTTACATATACACTTTCATGGCAGTTTTATTCTAGTCAAGTGGTGGATAATGAAAATATAGATGATAAGAAATGAAAAAAGTATTTTGTTGATATAAAAAGCCAGCCTGCTATTTTGCAATGGGTCGCCGAACATCCAGAAATAGAAGACATATAAATGACCTCCAAAAAAAGTGCCAGGCTTTGAACTATCATGTCAGCAATGGACAATCCTGAATAGAATTCACACCTCATACAGTGTCTCCGGGACGCTCTGTATAAATGGGGCATAGTACCCTCCAGAGATGGGTTCTACTTACCTTTACTACTGGTTCACAACGGGACCGCGCACGCACGCTTTGCTTCGTGCACGAGTGTGCGCAGAAACTTCCTGATGACATCGGGGTCAGTGGGCAGAGCCTCCTGCCTGTTTTACTACTGGTTCTTGAGAACCAGGGGCAACCCACCACTGGTACCCTCCCCTAAGTGTGACTGCAGGTTCCCATGTCAAACTGTAGATCACATAGTGACTGGCTGTAAACTGAGGACATATACCGGTCTGATATCTGATTTTTTAATATAAATGATGCTGCCCTTCAGTGGTTAGATAGTTTAGACATTGTTATTTTTACATTTGTATTTTATCGTGTTTTACTAATCTGTGAAATGTTTATATATATATATATATATTATGATATGCCATATGCTAAATAAATAAATAAATACTTAAAATACACAGAAATGTCCTCCAAAACATGAATGCAAGAAACTATTTTTCATGGCAAATAGCATAGTATGTATTTTATTTCCATGGATAACTGGACCACCTAACTTTTTCTAAAACTTCAAGTTTTTTGAAAATATGTTTATTTATATAATGTCCTGTAGATTCTGCTTTATATTGCTCAAATACATTGATATATCATTTTTTTCTTTTATCATTCCCTAGCATGGAAAAAAAGAAAAGAGATCTTAATAGTGGCAAAGAACCTGTAATTCTAGCTTCTCAGAAAACACGTGCTCCCGCAGCTTCTTCCTGTCAGGAACATGTCTGGCATTATGATGAAGAGTATCTGCCTGAAGCTTCCAAGCTGGTGTCAGGTCCTTCTCCAGAACAGGGTGATGGTGGTGTTAGCAACGGATATGTCGCTGTCAATTTGAATTCTTGCCAGCAGGAGGTAGACTCTAAGGAATGGGTGATTGTTGATAAAGAGCAGGACCTTCAGGATTTCAGAACTAATTGTGCTACAGGGCATAAAACAACTGGAAGTCCTTCTGATGAAGAACCTGAGGTACTCCAGGATTTTGAAGAGTCCCCCCAAGAGGATAAACCTGGACTTCAAACCAAGCATACACCTGATGGAGCAGCACTTAGTTTAGGCGCTGAATGTTGTGGAATTGCAGCTTCTGAACAGTTTACAGATCAACTAGAACTCCCAGTTGGAATTGCTGGCCATGCTCTTGCCGTCACACCTACAAGCCTAATGGAGGCACAAGCAGAAGGGGCTCTTACTCCAGTAAGTAAACTAACAGCCAGAGTCTGTTGTAGTTCAGGCAAATTAAGAAATTGCTGACTGAAAACATGGCCTTTGTATTACAATCAAAGCACTGATTAGAGATGATAATCTGCTTTAAGTCTTTGAAAAGAGGGTGAAAATGTTCGTAACATTTTTATATTTTCCAAATACTTTGGTAAAAACACGTTTTTGCAATGCCCAAAGCTCTTGCACCTGATTTTATTATTGTATACACCATTAAATATTTAACAGAAAAGCACAATAACTATGATACTTGAACAATTAATTATTTGCATAGAGTATTTTCATAGAGTATTATTTAAAATATGAATTATAGCCCAAAAGGAGGTAATGATTATTTCAGAAATAAAGAAAGTGATGGAGTGTTCATATGGGCTTACTCCATTTTAAGTCTTTATTTTCGGATGCTAGTAACTGCTATTAAATATATGTTTTTACTTGAATATATTCTAGAAAAGTTAACTCTTACATGTAAAAGTATAAATTGGCTTTGCTGTCTGATATCTGAAACTATTTTATATTTCTGAAAATGTACACGCCAAGAATCAGTCACTAAAAATATCTTCCATCTTCTGGGCCATGTTATTTGAACATCTTAATGTTTTGTTTCAGATTTCAGATTTTCCAAGAGAATGGTTCTGTCTTCTTTTTTGGCCAACATCATGGCCATTCCTGTTCCTAGATTTTGTTTGCAGTTTTTCTTCTTTACTATTTTTGTTCAATACAGCACATCTTCAGATACAATATATAATTACAGTACATAGTATATATCTATAGAGATTCTCAATCATCCAGGTTATGGATTTTTTTTCTTTGAAAATGTTTCTTTTGTCATTCAAGAAGTTTCTTCAGTACTGACTTGATTGGTGGGGAATGGAAGGATTTATGATAAATCTTTCAAAGAAAAAACCAAGAAAGTCCAGGTGCCTTTTGGAAAAGCACCTTTGGGAGTACATGGTATACTTTTTTCATTCAAAAAAAGAATAGCAATGACTGAAAGTGGTATTACTGAGCATAAGAGTTGTTATAAACATAGTTTGATCTGTGACCAAACAGTAAGGATAGAAATCACATTTGCTTCTTATCCTCTTGCACATACACTTTTTCTGTAACGTTCTTAATATGTATTATTACTAAATTGAAAGCTACCTGTTATTACTACTAAAATCCTAATTTAGTGCTGCAAAAATATACTGTTTAAATATCCTTCTCTGCAGACAAGGTTAATTTTCAAAAGTCTTTATTTTCCTTTTGATAAATAACAGCTCTTTATGATATCTGAATTCAGACTGAGATTAACTGAAACCTGGGTAGGGAGGTAGAAAGTGGTTCTTCTCTCAAGAATAGGCTGATCTGAGTTTTAGGTCTGGTATTATCCATGTTCCTAGGGCAGGAGAAAGAGAGAAGGTGTTATCCTCTGTGAGATTCTATTGGCATTAAGAGGCACTACTTTATAGATAACCAGATGTGAGACCTCCTTTATGCAGTTGGGCCCAAAGGTCTCCTTGGCATTGCCACTTTTATAGTGCTTCCCATACTGAACAGTGGCATCTCTGTCAGGAGTATTATCCTTATTGTTGAGATGGCAAGAGTTCCCTAGGTTAGTACTGTTGGGGAAACTTATTTTCACTTGATGAGAAGTCTGGAGTAGCCTAGGACTACATGGCCATCAATGACTACCATGGTCTTGGTTCAATATATTGAGACCTAATTGAGATAATTTTGTGTCTGTAAGTCCTAAGGGAATGTGTAAAGCCCTCTGTATTGTCAGTTCCATACTTTCTGGTTAGATCTCTGCCCCTTATGATTAGTTAATTTTGCCCTTGAAATGGCAGGGCATGGGATTCAAGCTGTTAACAGTTCTTTGAATAAAGGGGTAGTTTTCTCACTGTGAAAGATGTTATAGTGTACTTCATCTTTAATAAGTCTTTGCTCAAGTCAACGGTTTTAAATAAATTTAGGCTTCTCCAATTTACCTTTTAGGAAAGGCTATATAGAAACAGGTGGTCTTAAAAGTACAAAAAATCCTGGAAATAGCAAATTATTTGGACTCCTGGCAAACAGGTTTCAGCCATGGTACAGCACAGAAACTGCATTCTATGATGCTTTACTATAATTGCAATTATAATGTTAGCGTTTTAAAAATATGTATTAATGTAGTCAAATTGAGTAAATTATGTACTAAGAACAGGTTCTATGGAGGTGAACATGTAAAATAATTTATCATACAGCTTTATATCAAAGATAATTTATATGTTCTACTTGTTACAGCTTCTAAAATATAATATATATTTCCTTTCTGTACATAAGATAAAAATAAGAGTATATTTTTGTACTACATGGTTATTCCTCAGCTGTTTTAGAAAGTCTTCCTCAAAGCAACCTGCAACTGTGGCATGAAAAAATTTATACAGTAAAAAGCCACATAGTATAATCATTAAAATAATTTCATATTTAAACTCTTCTTGGTATACTGAAGCCCAGAAAAAGAAAGACAACTCAATCAATTTTGCCTAGGAATGAATATGGAGATGAATATTTACTACTAATGTCAAGTTTAACTCCAATAATACCTTGAGTGAGAAAAATAAAATTTACTTAGAAACTAAACATTTATTTAGCCCCCTGGCCCCCATTATCATAAAGATAAAAGGAGGAGAAAGAAAGCACGTTCAGATTTGCAAGACTCTGTTACTATTATTATTCTAATAAAGAAGATTTAAGTCTACATAGCACCTGTTTTTCAGTGTTTCAGTTTTACTTAATACGTGTGATATTAACCTTATAAGGCAGAATATGCTTCCTTTGTCTTCGGGTGAATTAGGGGGAGGTCTGTCTCAGGCATTTTTGCAAACCACTTTCTTGTCCTGGGCTCCAGCCTCATTCATTGATTGTTGCCTTGGTAACAGATATTCTCTCCATCATTCAAGGCCATCCTCTTTACTCACAATATTACTGCTCTAAGTTCCCATGATGTTTGGATTTCCTGACTGTGATTCATAGTTTTATATATACCTACTAAATTTTTTATCAACATAGTTGAGCAAACTACACAATGTTTTGATTTTATAAAGACAGTTTAATTGTGTTGTAGGAGACAATATCCAAGGATAAAGAGCTGGGCATATCATACTAATCCATTTTTAGTGGCTACATTGAATCACACTAGTGCAAACCACTTTAGGAGAGCGCACTTCTGGCTACTGCCTCAAAATATGTGTTACCTCTTCATTTCTGGCATGATTATCTGCCCTAGGTATCTTCTATCTTGAAATAGGCTTTGAAACCAACATTTCTAATTCTTCTGGCTAACCTAGGTGTAGCAGTAGAGTGGACTGTAGTTCCTGTATCTGATTGGGGAGAATCTGCCGTCTTCATTTTTTCAACTTTTGCCTTCTATAGACACCATGGATGTCAAAATAGATCACATACTTTCTTTAATTCAGAAGATGTTGGTATGCACATAATATAAATAACCTAGATTGTCCTGTTCCTTAGTGTGAATTTAAAACAATCAAATTAATCATATGGAGGATTTTACTGCTGTGCTAGTCCAATTTTCAATACACCTCATCCTGTTTCAAATAGCCAAAAATTCTTGGATAAAGCCTTCCTCAATGTTATATATAACATCTATTAGGAGTCTTTATCAAATTTAAGAAGATGGTACTTCTGTTCTAGTCTAGCTTCTGTATCCAAATCCTGATAGCTTTGTTAAGCTTGGCTTAGCTTCCTGTGTCTGATTTCTCAGAGACATAATGCATTGCCAGTTTGACCCAGATCTCATCCCCCCCCCAAACTCATTATGTGGAGATTACATCTACAAATTCTTAGTTGCAGTAGATCAGGTCTTTGCTGGATTGGAAGCCTTAAATTCAGAAAATTAATATGATGAAGTGAGACAGGTTCCTCAGTTTTCCTAATCTTCCATGATACCATTCCAGATTTCATGCTGTGTTTTGGAATTTTTATTGTGGCTTAAGAACAGGCTTTATTTTTGTCTGTAAAACTTTATCTTGTTCATAATCTGATTAAAGGAATTTCTGTTTTTTCTCATGTGGCTGTGAAGCAGTTTGTGAAAGTTGTACAGTACTTTGTTTTTTGTCTGTCTGACAATCAAAGTCCTTTAAGACTTTAGCTACCTGACCTCTTCATTTACTCTCTCAGAAGACAGCATTAGTCATTGTGATCACATCAGTCTGACATTCAGTCTGACATTCTAGTGAGCTCCATGCTTTTGTATTCAGGTGAATCTTACCTAATTTTTTATAAGGAGAAAGTGAGTCTGTGGTCTCCATTTCTCCTCTTGCTGAAAGCAGTCTCTCATTTTCACTTATGCTAAGAAAATATCTTCCCTCTGTTTTTTTCAAATCCAGAAAATTCCTTAGAAATAATTATGCATATGCTTGATATTCATTTCTGACTTCAATATAAGAAGGATCCACGTTTATTTCTCTCTTGTAATAGGCAACAGAAATGTTTTTTGTTGAATAAATCCCATGAACAATTATATTTGGACAGACAAATCCAGATTTGCTATTCCGTGAATCTGATGGCTTCATCAGCAGTAGGATCTCCCTTTAACATCAGTTGGGCGTTCACTTTATTACAGCCATCTGATCTTAGTGGGGATTGTTTTCTTGAGAGGATAATTTGGCAGGGCAGTTTTATTCTCAGTTTTTCTTTTTTTATTGTTTACCAACCTCCTTGTATAGTAGCTTACTACTGAGCCATGTATGTAAATCATAGAAACCACTGGTTATTTACCTGTAACTGTCATTCTTAACATGGCCATCTGTGAATCCAAATGCCAACCATACATCCTTCCGACCTGGTTTCAAGGACAGCATTGTCAGTATTGGCCTGTTGTAGCTTCTTTGAAATGGATGACAATGGCAGGAATCCTAATTTCACATGCTGAATCTAGTGAAAGGAAATGGGCTTCCTACCAAAAGTCTAAGGTTCCAGAATGCTCTATGTAGGTTACTGTGCATGTGCAGAACCCATATATGCAGATTCACAGATAACTACCTAAAGAACTGCAATTATAGGTAAGTAACCAGGTCCTTTGTTCTATTATTCTGTAATAGTCATTATGTGTATCTGAACAATGCATTTACAATAGAGTGTTATATTTGCAAGCTGATAAAAATGCTGCTTGGAATGAACATTGAGTTGGATCCAGGTTTTATTTCCCTGAATAGTTCCCTGAAGAGATTTCCAACACCACACAAAGAATATTATGGGGAAGTATAAGGGAATAATAAAGCAAGGGAAATTAGCAAACATTGCTATACTGCCCAGGGAAGTGTTCTCCTTCTATAAATAGAATAAGCTTTTCCAATTGTGGAAGCAAGACCTGGATCCAATTCAGTACATGTCACTATTGGTTATCTTTGTCAGGCAGGGTTTACAAGGTAATCACATTTTTTAAGTAATTTCTTTTACTTAGTAGCATTATTTTATAATCACTTTTCTGAATTTTCTGTGTTATTAATGGCATATGGGAAAATATTGCTAAATCAGAGGAATAAAATAAGTGGTCTTTGTAGTTTCATTTTTAAAAGATGGTTTGGTTTATTATTGGAAATATCAACTATTGGAAGGCTAATGTATAAAACTAGATAAAGAATAATAAAATGGTCTTATTAAATATTTGAAACTTTTTCTTTCTTTTCCCTGCCATATTCTCACAGCTCAGCTCATTTCATATGTCGCATTTCTCCATCCCACGAATTTCAAGCCCCAACATCTTCTATACTCTGAACCCTATCTCCCACCTCATCACCCACATGGATCCTAAGAAAGTGACAAGCTTTCCAAGGAGTCAATCAGCAGAGAGCCACTCTTCCTCTTCCTGGTCACCTTCCTGTAGGCAACTTCCTGTTATTCCCTCTGGAAACAAGTTTCCCCCTGTCATTCACATCTCAAAAGCACAACTCCAGCAGGTGAATGCATCTTCATTTTCATCAAAGCAACTACACTGTTGGTCATTTGAAAAGTTTTACAGTTCCGAATTATTATGCAGGGCTGAGATTTGGTTTATTTGTCTGAGTAGGAAAACTGAAAGCTGGGAGATACAGCTTTTTTGAGAAAGTCATTTTAAAGAAGTAAATTGTTTTAAAACAATAGCAAAAATCTTCACAGGATAGATCAGAATGAATCCAGCTAATCTTTTATGTAGAAGATAAAATTATTTTTCAGAAATTATGAATGACTTTTTTGTAGTTTAAAGTTTGGGGAATAGTTTCAATAAATAAGACTCAAAATTAAAGCTTTTAAAATTAAAACTGATATATAAGTGTTACATATACAAAAAAGAGAAAGATAAGGTCTAATTTATTGATTGAGAAGGTAAACATTTGCATTTTTCTTTTTTTAACAAGTAGAATGCTAAAATACATATTGTTCAAGACACGGGTTTAATAATAGGAATCAGTAGTATTAAAACTGTCAAATGGAAAACTCCAATTAATCTTTAAGAACACAATACTTAAGCTTTCTTTCTTTCAGAAGAAGTAGTCTCATAATAGATGTTATCCATATTATTTTAACATAAGAAAAATAACTTTATATTAGTAGAGCACAATGATGATTAATAATTAAAGCTTAACCTCTAATTTGACTCCATCCCACCATAAACATTACCATATGTAAAATTCATTTCTGCATGTAACTTTTTTCTTTTTATATAAAATACTATTTCTCTCAATATAAATTTTTGTTTCTAGTTGAATATTATTGGGCAATGATAAAAAGGATAAAAAATATTCCAAAGGTCAAATTTTCTGTCTATAAGCCACATTTTCTATGCAGCAAGAAGTAATCTCTTTAACTAGATTTCATACATTTTAGCCCTTGCTGTTTTACCTTGTTTATGGTGAAAATGCAGTTATTATTAAAAATTGTTAGTCTTAATAATTTAGGAGTTAGCACTCTGATCCTGGGCATTAACTGCACAATCTTACATAATGGCCATAGGATCCAAAACAAAGCAAGAAATAATATCTCAATTTTTTAGGATGATTATTTGCTTTTTAATGAAAGTAACTGTATTGCAACAAAAGCTAAACATATATTTAATATTTGAAAAATAAACAAAGAATTGAAAGAAGAAAAAATCCTGGATGTGTCTAATCTGTGTAGGTATCAATTCTATATATATATAAAAAACCCTGATAAATGTTTGTAGTTAATAAATGATGTCTATATTTGAATACATCTACTGTAACCTCTCACTTCTTTGGTGCTACATTAATTTTTTCAATCAAATCAATTTGTTATCTATTTAAAGAAAAGAATAGCGTTATTATCTGCTTTGTGGTAGCTAAAGTCATCTGAAATGTTGCAAAATCACTAAATCTAATGAGAATTCTGAATGCAAGAATCTATTGGAATCCAATTCAGGATTGCAACTGATGAAATCATCCGGTTTTCCAGATTACTGTCCCATCATTATATTTTTTCTTCTTTTCTTCTTTCATGGCATTTTCTTCCCCTTGTTTCTTCTTCTCCTATTTGTATCTGTTTAAATTGAGTATGGAGCATTTTTATTTTTATTTTTGAGGACAACATTCCTTAAGGAGCCCAAACTGCCGGTAAGTGGAGCCAGAGCACAAATTAAATAGGGCCAATCCTTTTCTTTTTCTTTTTCTTTCCATTGTTCGTTGATTTCATTGATGAACAAACATCTAGGAAAACCTCTTGATTTTTGTAAAAAATTATGAATATTTTTCTTTACACATTTTTCATAACGTCCTCCTCTTTTATCACATCAAGGAAATCTCTTTATTTCTCAAACACACTGTTTATTTTTATCTCTTCTTGATCCCGAGGGAAAAAATATATCCATCTGCCACCTTAACTTGGATTTTTCTTTTCATTCTTACACAAGCTTTTAAAAAACTTTTGGGTAATAAAGTGATATTGTTGGTTTATATTAGATTTTTAATGTGTCACACTCCAGTTTTGATTCCAGCTGGGATTTCCTCCAATTCTGCCATTTATACATTTATTGTGCATGTTATGAACAGTGTGCATCATCTGATTAACTTACTTATTCTGAGCTGTTATGTTTCTCCAAATTCAGCTCATAATAATTGTTAAGATTCTTCAAAAGAATAATCAAGTGTTTTGGCACACTATTTAGCTGTCTTACGATCAATATTCTGGTATAACTCATGTCACAAAGCAAAGATAAATCATCTTACGTCTCTTATTTCATTATCTACTTCATTATATTAGCTGTATGATCTCATCTGTCCCCATTTTTTTTTTTTTGAAGTTTGATTTTATTTGGAATTTCTGTTTTCATAATTTGTCTGTATTCTTCCCTATAAGTTCTTTAAGAAAACTTTCCTTGTGTTAGATATGAAAGCAGTCTTGGTTTGATAATTTGCACATTCTTTTGAATTTCCTGTCTTTGGTGTACAGATGCACGCCAGTCTCTTCCAGTCTTTGGGACACAGTGTTGTTCTATATTGTTAACATTGTACAGCTACTATTTTGGATTACCTTTCCTGTAACAGTTTTAAATAGTTCAATTAATCTGTTCTTTTTTTTATTTGGCAGCTGGTCTGTTCCTGTATTAGTTTAGTTTCTGTAAAGTTGATTTTTAAGTATGTTCTCTTTTTGAAAATGTTTCTGACATTCCATAATCCGTTTTATAAAAGTTTTCAATATAGTTGTCCCATCTTATTTTGCCCTCATTTGCATTGTTATATCTCTTCTGTGATTACTTTCAGGTATTTCACTTTAGCTGTATACTTTCTTATGAATTCTCCTTAAATAGGCCTCTTTTCTTATTATTTGTTAACATCCTTGCTTAAGTTATCTTTTCCTTTATGGTTTAACAGTGGAATTTTGCATACAGTTGTCACATATCTTCCATGCATGTATGCAAAGGAATATTTTGTGTTCTAGGAACAGGGACAAACCTGTCAGGAGGAGAGGATTTTTACAGTTGAAGGCACTGATAAAGGTCAGTGCCTAGTGAAGCAAGTAGAGGGGAAAAGCTGTGCAGAAAGATAAGTAGAAAACAAATTGGGACAGTGATTATAGAAACAGATTCAGTAATAATCTGAAGCAGATGCGAGAAGCATAGGGGATATAACAGACTATTTTTACTCTGATGCAAAATAGTTTGATAAATGTTGAAGACAAAAGGCAAACATTTAAAGCACAACAAACAAACAATAAATGATCTATGAATTAATCAGATTTTCTGCTGTGTATAGTTACTGTTCGTTATTAAGTATATTCTTATAACATTTCTTATTGGAAATAACTTCAAAATAGTTCATAAGATCACTCAGCCACCAAATGATGACAATGATGTCAAAAGACTGACACCATTGATGCTTATGGAATTTGTAGGTCATGTTTCCAATAATTCTCACTAAGCACCACCAATATATATATTTCTTATAGACTGAAACTACAATCTGGTGTATCTTTACACCAAAGTAAAGTTGAGTTTTCAATAAAAAGGTATAAGATTAGACTACTTAGGCCTGCCTCCTTAGAGCCCATTAAAACCTTAACAAGAAAAGGAAATAAAATAAAATAAAATAGAAGGTTGCTAATAGATTTTTACATTGTGTTATTTAGAAATGAAAGTACATCAGTTAAATTAAAAGCATGTAAAAAGGACTAACTAGAGCAAATAGAATAAGGTGGATAAAGATAGATACATTTAGAGAGCGAGAATAAGTGATTTTGATAAGAACAGTTTGAATAAAACAATCATCCTATTGTTAAATGATTCCAAATTGGACTGAACACTTCTCTTCTTTTTCATTGTATTCAACATATAATGAAAAAGAAATTAACTACTGTTTTGAATATGATTTGATAATATATGGTGATGTCAACAAACAAATAATTTATGGTCAACTCATTATTTAAATATTTTCTTTACAGGTTACAATCCCCAGGCCATCAATGGCATCCACACAGTCTACTTCTGAGAGTTTTCATTACGGGCAGCATCTAGACAAGAAAGATCGGGATCCTCGGGTTTTGGAACATACAGTTGAACTTTCCTCCCCTAAGGAGAATGTTGCTGCCTTGGTTGAAGCAAATGGTGCATTGACTTTTAGCAGCAGTAGAACAGATTTAGTTCTCAAATTAGATTGCAACCAAGGGACACTTGATAAAGATGTTGATGAAGGCATTGAAAATCAGAATAATAGCCAAACAAATTTCCTTGAACAATACATGAAGAAACAAGAAGGAAGGGAAAACGTGAATCTTGTTGAAGGAATAGATGACAAAGAGCCTTTCATTGCTTGTGAAGATGCCGTTGAAATACAAATTAAGGAACCCTGCTTAACTGCTTCAAGAAGCACAGAATCTGTTTTGGATGGACCTCAGGTTATTACAGACCCAGAAGAACCAAGACCTTTAGCCAGCTGCTCCTTACTAAATCAGGGTACAAAACAGGAATTACAGAAACAGTCAGCTGCTGAAACATCAGACGTTTCTCTGTCAAGAAGCACTGACCTATTTGCTTACAAACAGGAAAGTCAAGAAATACAAGTACATGAAAATGGCTTCCATGATGAGGATATTGATCATGCTAAGGAATTGCAATGCCAGCAAGTGAAACTTGCCACACTTTTGCATGAAACAGAAAAAGAAGAGCAAAGTATTCAAAGAAATGGAGAACTATTCTATTCTATTTCAGAGAATGAAACTTCTAGTCAGTCCAAAAGAGAATTAGTTAGATCGCCATTTGTAGCTAGGCAGAGTCGCATACCAGTTTTAGCACAAGAGCTAGATTCCTCATCAGAATCTTGTCCTGTTTCAGCAAAGGAGAAGCTACTTCTAAAAAAGGCCCACCAAACAGACTTGGTTAGATTATTGGTAGAAAAGCGACAGCTCAGATCTTTCCTGGGTGACCTTTCAAGTGCCTCCGACAAGTCACTGACGGAAACAGCAGTAGCAGGTCCCATGCCATTTTCAGAAGATGTATTGACCTTTTCCAAATTAACATTGGACACTCATTTGCGGAGTCAAGTACAAGAGAGCTTTTTGTCATCAAATAATCCTCAACCCAGAAAGAGCAAAATACCAAGACCTGTATCTTGGACTACTACAGATAATATTAGCACTTCAAACTCAGCTCAGTTTTTTCCTCGGCCACCCCCAGGAAGGCCACCAACAAGGCCTGGAGTAGAGGTTAGGTAAGTGCACACATCTATTTAAGCAATATGAAGTATACATCTGTATAGTATGACACCTTACAAATTGCACAGTCCTTGCAGTTTAATTATTTGGTAGAAAGCATAAGTGCACATTCAAATAATTTTTTCTTTATTTAAAACTGAGGAAAGGTTTTATGAATTAACATTTGTAATCTGTGCCTGAAGTGGATATGAGGTACTAGATTTCTAAATGTTTTGGTTCTCAGATTTGAGTTATATAATTCTAAGGAGATGATAAGAATTGTTTATCTCTATGTGGAGAAGTTGAATATAAAAACACTGATTCTTTCATTTTTATAATAAGCCCTCTGTATTGACATCTGTAGTGTATGTCAGTAATATAAATGTCTATTCAATTATATTTTAAAAGCTGTACTTAATAGTTAGAAAATTTAACCTATAGCCTCACTGTAATATATCTTTTGATAATGCTGTTAGAATATACATTATGTTTTCTATTTGCTGTAATGCAGACATCAAAAATAACAAAATGAGATTTTATTTAAATAAGTGAAAGTGGCTTGGTTAGAAGAAAATAGAAATAAAATATTGTTTAAGTGTTTATATTCTATAATACAGTCAGTAAGTTATGATTTTAGTGTTGTGACTAGGTGATAACATATCAGAACTCTATTTAATTTCATTTATCACATTTACTTGCCTGCCTATCTCATAAGAGCCTAATTTCGGGCAGCAAACAATAATAAAAAGACTTAACAGACTTAAAATGAAATAAAATATAATAATAATAATAATAATAATAATAATAATAATAATAATAATAATAATCATAATCATAATCATAATAATATAAAAAATGCAACTTGCGTAAAAATGTGCCACGTGCAAACAAATTAAGCTGAACTAAACTAGTGCTACAGTTTGGAATTTAAAAGTGTATTTTTGAGCTCAAAAGAGAACACAGCACTTGGATGATTTTTGGAGATTTCATGATGTGGTTTGTGTGTCTATTCTGGCCCTCTTAGCAGCTTTTGATACCATCAACCAGTTCTGGGGACTGGGAGCGGGGCACACTGAATTGCAGTGGTTCTCTTTCTTTTTCCATGGCTGCTACCAGTCAATGCTAGTAGGGGAAGACAGGTCCAGCCCTAGAACCTTACTAGGTATTGTGAAGTTATTGGGAGAGGTCATGCATCAACATGCTCAGCCCCTGGAGCTATAAAGGCCTGTATGAGGAAAAAACAGGTCTGAATCAATCCTAGCAAAAGGAATTGTTTGTGGGTTTTTGGCATCTGGAGAATTGACATTTCTGACTCTTGATGGGATAATATTCCCCTGCATAAATTTGGTCTGCAATTTGGGGTCCTCTTGGATTTATGGTTCTTGCTGGAGGACCAGGTGACAGTTGTGGCAATGAAGTCCTTTAAACAGATCTGCCTTTGCACCAATTGCACCCATTCCTGGACTGGGAGATCTTGCTCACAATCACTGATGCCTTAATTGCCTCCTGTTTGAATTGCTGCAATGTGTTCTACATGGGGCTTTCCTTGAAAATTATACGGAAACTGCAATTGGTCCAGAATGCAGTGGCATGCACAGTTTTAGCTGTCCTGTGGTTTATTTGAGCAATAGTACTGCTGCATGAGCTGCATTGGCTTCCAGTTGTTTTCTGGATGCAATTCAAAGTGCTGGTTATTTTATTTATTTTTATTTTATTTATTATATTTATATGTTGCCCATCTCCTGGATAAGGTGATTCTGGATGGCTGTCATCTTTAAAGACATACATGGCACAAGGCATGTTACTTGGAGGACGATCTCTCCCTGAGGTTATCTGCTTATCCTACTAGTTTAGATAGTATTAATGTGCTCCAGATTCCCTCTCTTAAATATTTTTGGTGGCCACCTCAGTGGTTGCCACAATGCCACCAGAGATCAGAGAGCTCCCTACCCTTTAAGCCTCCCAGAAGGCTGTGAAGACATGGCTCTTTCCTCTAGCATTGAGCTAGCTGGGAGATTTAACTACCCCGAAAATAAGACACTGTCTTATATTTTTTTGAACCCTGAAATAAGCGCTTGGTCTTATTGCCATGCACTCAAAAGCCCGATTGGGCTTATTATCAGGGGATGTCTTATTTTGGGGGAAACAGGGTATAAGGATGCTTGATGTGGGGTACGGGGGGAAAGGGAAATGTTTTTAAGTATGTTTTATGGATTGTTGTGAGCTGCCTAAAATTATTGTATGAGATAGGTGGCTATATAAGTGTTGTGAATAACATAAATTAAATAGCAAAAGTAGCAACCTGATTGCTAATAAATAGAATTGCATGTGGAAAAGGGTAATTCAGTTCTTTGCCTCCAACTCCTTAGGTATATCATCAGTGTTTTCCTCCTAATCTCATTATAGAATTATGTCTTCCACTTGACCAGCACCGTAGGAACAAAGGTGCTGTTTCACTGAATGTTTTGCAAAATCGTTCTTTGAGATATGCTACAGGCATAATCTGTAAGTAGTGGAATGTAAAAGCCTTCTGTAGTGGAACACTGGGAATATTAGCAAGATACGGATAGTCCTCTTTAAGCAACCCTACTAAAATCATGTGATCATGTCTGTGCTTACAGTTTTACACAAGACAAATGAGTACTAACTGACTGTATTGGCAAATATATGGCTGAGAGAGACACATACTGCAAAAGTCATAAATATAGGCATTGGTCACAAAGTTACTTTGTAATCTTCAGGTTATTCCCACCCTTATAATGCAAATAACAAGATTTAAATATGCAGGGTTGTTGAAGGCTTTCTAATTTCTCATAGTACCTTACCAATGCAAGATGGAATCTTAACAGAGATTGAGGATAGACCTATTTTCATCCTTAGACAGGAAACAGAATACCTAGGGGGAAGACATTGTTTGGGACTATTTTCAACTGAGCAGTAGCCTTCATATTCTCCTTTCCATGTAATATCTAAGCTATCACTTTGTCCTGAGATATTTCAGATGTGGTTACAAGTTGCCTTCCTTTTAACTTAAAAAAACCCCTTCAGGATAACTCTTATTGTACATCAGGTAGTTACTAAAACAATAGATAGATCAAATGTCTTCCACTTGCAGGAGATGTTAGATATTTGAAGGAAGAACATTGCTAGATTTTGTAGATGTTAATTGACCGTGTGTTTTTTCCATGTTACTTGTGCCAAAGTTCATTGCCTCAGTTTTATTCTTTCTCAATATTCAGCCAATGACCAGCAGTCTTTTAAAGCCAATCTTGATACAAGAGATAAGAGTCATGTCATCGGTATATATTAGAATTGAGATTTTGCATCTATTCAGTGAGCAAGAAAAAAAGCTTTGTGATTCCATAATCATTATAATATCATTAATGTAAAAAATAAATAGGAAGAGAATGAGTGGATAGCCTTGCTTAACAGCTTTCTCCAATAATATAGGTATATCATATATGTATATAATACAGACTGAGATTGCATGTTAGATAAAAGTTTTATATAGGTAAAAAGTTAGATATAGGAAATCAGTTATACTAAAATTTGCAAATATAAGCAATTAAGAAAACAGTTAATATATGTCAAAAATAAACCACAAAAGCTCCAGTTAAGCAGCAAAGTTAACACAATCTTAAAAAGTATAGATTGTTAAACTTTAAAAATCAATTTTGAATAATGATGTTTTTTCTTGTGTTCAAATAATCTTTGAGAAAGAGCTTCTTGGATTTCAACAAGAAAATCATAACATATTGGTGGTGTCCTTACTGTACTAACAATATATGTTCCTTTTTCCTACCCATCTAATTAGCAGAATTTATATAGATTCATATAGGGGATGAATTGTATAGATTTCTTTCCTGTTTATTTATTAGTTTTTAATGCCTAACTTTGAGAAGATTCTAAGTAATATAAAATAAGCAATAGGACCACCTGAACAAGATTGCATCAATAGCTTTTTTTAAAAAAAAAGTTGGACTCCAGAAACAGCCTAACCAGAGTTAGGTTTTAAGAGACTTGTGGAATACTTGAAGAGTGGGAACCTTATGTATCTCTAAGAGGGATTCTGTTCCACAGGGCATGAACCAACAGTGAAGGAATGCTTCCTTGTTCCCACAAGATGATAGCATTTAACTAAAGGGACTTGGAGCATATTCACTCTGCCCAAGCATATTAGTCTAGCAGAAACAGTTGAAAACTTGAAAGGCTTTACAGATGATGACCAAAACTTTTAATTTCATCCGGAAGCTAACTAGTAGCCAGTGAAGCTCAAAAAGCAGCAATGACACATAGACATAACAAGGATCTCTATTACTCCTTCTGCACTGCATTTTAGACCAGCTGTAGCTTCTGAATTGTCTTCAAGGCAGCCCTGTGTAAAGAGAATTACAGTAATCCAGTTGTGAGGTGACTGTTAATGTAATGTAAACATTTTTAAGCCTAACTAAAGTTGAACATGGAAATACATAAAATATATGTAATATGACATATCCTGCATTAAAGAACAGAATGCAGAAATGACAAATTTCTTCTTTCTTTTCAAGGTTGCGGAGGTACAAAGTGCTAGGAAGTAGCAGTTCTGATTCAGACCTGATCTCCCGCCTGGCTCAGATCCTTCAGAATGGATCTCAAAAACCACGAAGCCCTTCACAATCTAAGAGTCCAGGATCTCCACATAGCCCCAAGACTCCACCCAAAAGCCCAGTCATTCCCAGACGCAGTCCCAGTTCCTCCCCTAGGAGCTCTTCTCTGCCTCGTACTGCCAGCTCTTCACCATCTCGGGGTGGAAGGCCACACCATGAGCAGAGAAGTTCATCCCCACATCTTGGAAGGAGTAAATCGCCTCCTAGTCTTTCAGGCTCTTCATCTTCCAGAAGATCCTGTCAACAAGAGCACTGCTACAACAAATCTAGCAAAAACGGTCTGAAAGGATCTAGTAGCTCTTGCCATCACTCTTCTAGCATTAAACCTCCCACTGGGAAGAACAAATCAGCCAATAAACTTAGCAGATAGGAACTGAATCTTGTCAGGTGTCAACCCCCCTCTCCATTCAATCTAATGCATGTTGTGTCTGTGTACTATGTATTTTAAAAAAGGGACCGTCTTCAAAGATTAGCATTTATCTTGACTTTTGGAGAAAAACTTTTCAGATGAATTATTTATATGGCTCACTTTGTATAGGAGTGGCCAGGCATTGCCCAAGAGTGGGCAGCAAGCAGATCAGGGAAGCTGGAGAGTGGAGATGGAGCAGCCAGAAAGTCCATCTGGAATCACATTGTTTGGGAGATTAGTGTTTTAATATGATTTTTCTTTCCTTTTTATTTATTAAAACAATAAGCTGACTCTAGATTTTCATCAAGGAAAATTATAAAACCTGAAAGAAATGTACTGGGACACTACTATGCTTGAGGTTTAATCAGCTGCTATGTTTTTAAAGATTTTAAAAAGCACATTATTTGGGACAGAAAATTCTACAAAGTCTTCTGTGTAATATTGGCCTTTTTCACAAACAATTTCACTTTGTTCATTGCCCACATTCCTTCTTGATTGATAATTATCAAAAGAAAAAAGTATTTATATAATTGCACAGGATTACAGCCCTGTATTTTAAGAGCTTGAGGTAACAACGTGTACTTATATTTACAGATCCCAAAGCTTCTATTATCTGTTTGGGTTCTGATCCATTTGATTACTTAACTGTTTATTCATTTCTAGGGCCAGTTCCAGTTATAAAATAAAAGTCAGATAATCTTAAATTATGGTAGAAATACAAAGGGTTTGGGATCATGTAACATCTTTATAGTTACATTAGAATGCAATCACTTCTCAGGGCATCACTGAGAGAGCCAGTGTAAAACTTAACTAGAATCTTTTATCTTTTATGAAATACTTCATTCACTTAACTTTACTACAATGTTCATCTCCAGTGTTATCAAACTGAAGAAGAGGTGAAATGTTTACACATTTAAACTTGAAACTTCATCCTTAATCTAGAAGAAAATTGAAGCTTTAAACCTCTTTATAAAAGTGACTGAAGTATGCTAGAGAAAATTAGCAGATCCTTTATTTTCTCTAGGAGGTAATACTTGCTAAGATAAAGTTACAGGACTGTGTTTGAAATGTTAAAGTATCTAATCCTATATTGTATAGAAAAAAGTAGTATGCGCATTTCCCAATATGTACAGAGCCAATACCTGACCAATAGTGCTGTATCTATGAAAGGGGATCGCAGCATCCTCATGATTTTGCCATAGTGTAGATGTACATGGTAGATTCCCTCCCACTTCCTTCAAAATATGCTTGATTTGAAATATGGAAAAGAGGACACTAAAACTTGTGTTTAAAGATAGTCTTCCATTTCCCCAAAATATTAGTTAATGAATAAGGTTGGCAATTTCTAGTTTTCCCAAACTTAGGTGTGATTGATTTAGATTGCCGGATTCAGAAATCAGTGATGGAACGGAATACAATGTAGAATGTAAAGTACCGTAAGTATGACCTGTTCTTTAAATGGAGATCTGGATTAGAAGAAGCTAAATATAAGAGGAATTTAGGAAATTACTGATCTGCTTGTTGTAGTCATCATTCGCCTTAGCCAGCATAAATTCTTTTAAATTTAATGTTATTTTATTTGCTGCCAAAATTGTAACTCTGGATTAAAAAGGGAACATTTTCTCTGTGAGCTAACACATTTCTAATGCTGCATTGAAGCTGCACTGAATTCTCTTGTTCTGTCAGAATGTGTTGGAAATTTTTTACTCCTAAATATGTATTTTCCCCCATAAGTAATGTAGCACAGTGTGGAATTGTAGCCTCATTCAGGTTTCAAGCACTACAGAGGGAGTGCACTAGCTGGAGCATATTTGCTATACTTTGAGAAACTGAATGATTTAAAAGATCTGTTGTATTATATTGTATAATAGGTGCTATACCAATAATTGCATGTTCTTATAGTAAGTTATATATTATAAATATTTATAAATATATACATACATACACATATATGCTTCTATAAACTTTCCCGATTTTCCCATTACATTTGTAAAATTATGGACCACAGATCATGCTGTATTCTTTCAGTTACGTGCCTGAATTATATGCCCTTGGCCTTGCTATTCCTGTTTGCTGGCATGCACAAAGCTGAATATTTTTCATGCTCAGTTCAGAACAGAAAGAGTATTCAAAATGGAGTTGCTTGGCAATTCAGTGTTTCGTATCGGCATTGACAGTTCACTTTTACAATTCTGAATAAAATGGAAGGACTTTGAGAAACTATGTGTTTAATAGCCAAGGTCAGTGTAGGGTCTTGATTTTGTCTTTTCATCCTCTTTCTGTATCTTTCTAATCCCTTATGAGAACTTTTTCTGTTAAAGTGTGTGTCATGATACTGTTGGTGATAAATAGAAATGTGTGATATAAAAAAAGTCAAGACTTTTTCTTCATCTTGTCTTGCCAGCTTTTACCCCGGTTCTCTGCTTGTTGCAACAATGCAGGGACTCTCTCTTTAGGCTACTGACAGTAAAAAAAAAAGTCAGGTTTTTTAAAAACATTTATCAGCTCTATAGAGATACATTCAGCCAAGCACGTTATTCCAATAACTTAGGTGCTTGAAATATTCTACATGTTCAGCTCTTTTCCAATAAGTGCTTCCAGGGAATGTATTGTGAAGCTGTATATTTGAGTTGATACAAAAAACAACAAAGCTTTATCATTTCTTTATTATAATTCCGTTTTGGGGGATTGATATCAATTCATCTGGTTTCTCAAGTCCAACTTCAAAAAGCCTTCCTTTACATATAACCATTTTAAAATTATTTGCATAATCTGCAAGGTTTTTTTAAATATATATATATATATATATATTTTACATTACACCTAAGGAATAATATTTCTAGACAGTCCCTGGAGGAACTCCTTCATAAATATGTCCAGAGCATCAGTATTGTAAGAACAGTTTCCCTTGCATGTATGGAGATGCATATCCCAAAGATTTATTTTCATGCTTTGCTGTCAGGGACAAAACAATATCTATTCTATGCATTAACAAAAAGAATGTTGTAGAAATATTATACATTTCTCTTACAAATGGTATATGTATCCCAATATTACCGTAATGTTCAGATTCTTTTCTGTTAAAATCATTTGTATTTCTTTCCATGTTGTAGAAATGCAAGGAGGCATGTTCCAGAGTAAATGGTCATTGTGGAAAGCACAGGTTAATGTCAATGTGTTTTTAATGTATTGAGTGGATTCACTTTTTAGTTTGTCATTCTGCCAAAACATAATATAATAGTTATTAGAAAACCAATGGTTTACTAACAAAGCTTTAAATTATTGTAATAGACTACTATCATCTCTCTCATCTTTCTGTAGTAATCAATGATTTTGTTACTAATGTGCATTGTTCTTTCTGCAACATTTACTGCTTCGGGAAGCAAACCAAAAAAGTATTGTGAGTTAATCTTGATTACAATACCTTTAGTTAATAAAATAATTGTGCTTGTAACTTTGAGAAAGAATGTATTAATTTAGTTTGTCTCAAATAGTAAGTTTCAAGATTAATGTTAGTAAAAGACAAGACAATTAATATGCATGGTTTAATCTGAATAAGCAAGTCCTGCCCTCCACAGCTTGAGCCAGAATAAAAAATGTTTTTTATTCTTTCTGTAGAGTTCATAGAACATTTAGCCAATTAAACTCAACGAGAGCACCATCTACCCTCATTCAGACCTGCTCTGTCGTATGAATGATCAGATGTTGATATACTGGCTCTGGCACTGTTGCTCTATGCTGAAAAGTTACTGCTTTAGGGATCCACATTATCCTGGGGTTTTAGCAAGAATTTAAAAAAAATATTCCTGCCAGACTGTTGAGGGTTGGTTAGGGGTGGTGGCGGCATAATTTTTTAGAATTAAAGGTACATTGCAGGCACATTAATTCTTACATCATATTTTTGTCTACAGTGTAATTGTACTGCATGGAGCCAAAAGCAGCTGAAACTTACCATCTGTAATGTCTTTGTAGGCAAATGCATACTCTTAGGACAAAACAAACAGATAGGTTTACCTTTGCATCAGAGATAATTTGTCCATTTATATTGTATTTGTATCAAAAACATGGAGCTCCAGGTGTAGTCTTCTTTGCTTAGGTTTCTTAAAAGTCAAGAAAATGCCTTGACATTTTGTTCTTGATAGTGTTCAGAAGTTAAATTTGCTTGGTCATCTTTTTCTTCAAGTAGGACAGTTCTAATCAGAGCTATAGGTCTTTGCTCTTAGAGTTTGAATAGATGTAGTTCTCTAATAGCTTAGTTGCTTCCTACAATAAATATAAACAGTGCCAGTTGTCTATTCTGTAATAGTAATCCGTGTAATATAAAAGCAGTTTCCAGAAGACAAAGAACAATAATTTTAATATATGGATACTGAATGATATAGAATATATACTTTTTAACACCCTTAAACGTGTGAAAGAATGCCTGCATTTTTCAAAATCTATCCATCATCTTAAAATATTGCTTTTACATTATCTTTTTCTGTGGCAAGTAAAATATCTTAATGTGGAAAAATAAGGACAACTGGTTTATATCTTAGAGAGAAAAATCTTTTTACATACGATTTAGAATGGAAAATTTAGATGGTTAGTCTCAGCTGGTACGTTGTCAACTATGCTATGCTTGCTATGCTATGCTATCTTCTCTAGTTATGATCATTTAATGTTTGACATTTGGGTTAATTCAGTCTCTTGTTTAGGTAGCATTGATCTTCTAGTGCCAGTCTTGCTTAGAGAATGGATCCTTAAGACCATCCGGTCTTAAGAGGTTTCTTAAATTACAAGAGCACCTTTCAATTCAGCCATAAGAGAATCCAACATGATGTCCGTTCCCTGCTGTCTTTTCTTTTAGTGTACCATTAATTTTGCTGCTGAGGTGTGGAGAGGTGAGGACATTCCTACATTAGGCAAGTCATGAGGAAAACATGCAGATTCTGCGAACTGCATTAACACCTCAGAGACAATTTGGATAAATGAGATCCCATGTCTATAATATATTGTCTGCTTTGTTTATGAGTCATGACTAATAATAGCTAATATATACTTCCCTGAATTGATTGTGTACTCAACTAGATAATCTGACTGCACAATCTCTTCTGTTGTTGTATATTAAATATAAAAAAACCACGAGATTTCATGCTTATGGTTTTTGTTTGTATAATCTTTTTGCTTTACCAATTTTTTTTTTCAAGGAAAACAGGTTAAGGAGATAGGTGGGCCCAGTCCTCAAATCAGATGTGTGGAGACATTTGTTAGTCTGCATGCATTTTAACAACCAGTTGACTAACAATATTCATATGTTCAATGTTCAAATTAAATTAAAACAAATATGAACAGAAATATACATGTAATGCTGCTTTTTCTACAATTTTTGCATTCTATTTCAGATACTCATTCATATAATTCAATGCAATAGGCTGTATGTTGAGAGAAAGAAATAATAAGAACTACTATCTGGTCTTGTTTTTTCTTAAATTTAGTGATAGCTTCGTTACTCCAGTACTATTAATTGGTTTCTATCATTGTTTTAGTAACACTAATAATGGCAAACCCTTAAAACTAGAAAATATTTCAATTTAACTTCTATGGTTCTTTAGATGAGCAAGTTGTTTTTATGAACACAGTTCAGCTTGCTTATAGACAGTTCAAAGAAAGGTATTCCTTTTGTACTGCAATAATTTATCACAAGGACATTTTAAATGTAGAAAGCACTATGATGAGATACAGAGAGAATCTAAGTAATGATATACTCCTTTATATCTCCAATTTTCACATAATTCTCTGTACTCAGGTTACAGTTCAAAAAATTTGCTTTTGCTAATAAAAGGAGCTCATTACCATACTTTAACTGGAGTGATCATTTGAAAAGAAATTTCTTCAAAACTTATCAAAGTACGTGAATTGTTAAATTTACTTCTTAGATTGTAAACAGGAACTTTGCTTTGATAATTTTTGGCTTTTGTTCCTCTTAAATTTCAGCCTTTTGCCTTAATTTTCTACTGGGAATATTGGGTTAGGTCCAGATTGTAATTTGCCAGCAGGACTGTCCCAGAATTGAATAATGCAGTACACTCTTTCTGCTGGAAAATGGGGGAAAACAAAAGCAGATTGGGAGTCAGATAGAATATTACAGGAAGAGAGGAATTACTGAAGATTCCCCCTTCCCTATTTATTCTTCAAAAAGGAAAAACAAAACAAGGAGAATAATGCCTCATCCCACTAAATTGTGGTTTCTAAACTTGGCATAAATTAGTGCAAAAGTTCCTAAATTATTTCTTATTAAAATAATTGAAAGAATGAATTAAGGAAACAAAAAGTCAATTTGGTAATGTTTTTTTCCTTAAAACCTGGAAGACAGACTGTATAGTGCTAAAACCAGTATCTCTCCCCCATATATAGTTGCTGCTGCTAGGTAGAAATAATTTTCAGGGGCCAAGAATATTGATTGATCTTTTCCATCCTGGAGCAGAACAGGGAACACATAAATAGTCCATTGGGGATTGATCTTTGCTGAATTGTGTCTATGTTTTGTGTGCTCATATTCAAGTATTTCATTTCAGTTTGGCATAAAGTGGGAGCCACTGAGCCCTTCCCAGTTCTCTCTGCTTTGCAAAGTAACAGTTTAGGTCTCAGATCTGAGGTGTTTCAGCTATCTGGACCAGTACAAAGGAGAGTAATATTAATGCTGTGTTGACAGGTAAAAGCTTGCCTTAAAGAGGATGTGTTACACAGCTCCTCGGATTCTCTAGAATAGGTTCTCTAACTTCCGGTTGCATGTTGTTCCTCAGTGATCAGAAAGTAAATATCTAAATCTTTCCCTTTATTAGTGAATTATTCATGGCCTGTTATGTTTTATGTTTTGCCTTCTTTATTGCAAAAAAATAAATAAAAATCCAAATAAATTAAAATTAAATTTCAAAGCCAGGGGTGAATATTAATTTGAAAATACTCAACAGTCTGACTTTTGTTTTAAATTAGAAAAGCCATCCATTATTTATTCAGAAAATACTATTTCAAGGATAATACAATGAATTGAGATAAAAAATATTCTGGAGAGGTAACTTAGTAGTATCAAGAATTTCAAACTTTTCTTTCCTTGCGTTCAGAGTTCAGATTAGATGTCTTACCGTTTTTGCTCAGTCATTCAGAAACAAGGTATTGACAATGGTGTCTTTATAATGCTCATTTGTACATAAAGATGTAGTTATTTATTTTACCCCATTTGTATCATATCAAGTTTTTGTAAATGTTTTGAGTTCTGTTTTTAAATTATTTTGTATTTTATTTTTATAAACTGGTTCTAAATAAAAATCATTCAGCATGCAAACAACATTGACTAGATTTGTCAGTTTATTTTTAATGGAGCTCATCTAAAAATAGTTTTGGATATAATGTAAATTGGAAGAAGCTATGAAAAACTATTTTTTCCTCTCTGGAAAATGAAACTGGTGCTGAAAAGAAGAATGCAGATCTGTGAAAGATCAGCTTTGAAATGTCAGTAATTAATGCAGCATTTTAATAAACCTTTTCTACAGTGCTGAAATAAAGATGGATAAATATGGATATTTTTCTGCTTGCTCTATTTCTTGGTAGCACATCCAACCAATTACTGTTGGGTTCACCATATCCCTATTAACAGAGCTTGGGTGCTTATAACCACAACTGAACTTGCTCATTTTGTCCCATTTTACTTTTATTGTCACAGTTGTTAAGTGGTGAATCACTGCAGTTGTTAGTAATATAGTTATTAAGTGAATCTGGCTTCCCCATTGACTTTCCTTGTCAGAAGCTAGCAAAAGATGATCACATGATGCACACTATAACCGTCATAAATATGAATCAGTTGCCAAGCATCTGAATTTTGATCATGTGACCATGGGGATACTACAACAGTCATAAGTGTGAAAAACAGTCATGAGTCACTTTTTTCAGTGCCGTTTTATCTTCGAATGGTTACTAAATGAGCTGTTGTAATTAAAGGATTACCTGTATTTTGCTTTTAAAAATGTTTTAGAATGCAGTGTCATGCCATAAAATAAATATAAAACAGTTGAATAACATCAAAGTTTAATATTTTAAATCTAGGGAATCAGAAAATCAGAATCAAAAGTATTTTGATAGTAAATATCAAATAATTGTATATTTAAATATTTTAGCAACAAATAAGTATGATTATATTTCTGTGTAATGTACTGTTATTTTGGACACTTGAGTAGCTATGCATAAGGTTCCTAAGCATTGTCAGGGTAAGTATATCAAATTTCTGCTAAAACTGTTCCTTTTTAATTATTATTCACACATTTCTCACATTATATAATCTACTTATGAAAGTGAAAAATGAACAGGGCCAGGATAATAGTAACAAGTTAAACCTATTTGACAAAACAACTGCATATGTCAATAGGTCACAATGACCTATTGTTATCTTAGGAAACGTCACATTTTTTTTTGCAATCTTTGAATTACTGCCTATACCTGTATTGAACCATTCAATCTAGAACAGCCACTTACTACAGTGATGTACAGGAAGTGAACCTTGTATGAAAACAAGATGCCAACTCCATTGCCATACTTAATTTGGCAACACTCTGAGTAGCAAAGCTTTAAACACATCATCTTCCATTATTAGCAATGTTCTACTGTATATTGTATAGCAAAACTGTGTAGATACATAAATGAACATATTGTAGATCTCAGACCAGATATGGCAACATGTGGCAGAATCTTTTAACTCCCCACATTATCATATTTTATGGTGGCATAAAATAGGAGCAAAAGAATAGACCAGAATATATAAAGAAATTCAGTAATATAAATAGAAAAGATTTCTTATCATATTTATATGGTGATCATTTATTAGCATTAAATTTCTTGAATGATTAATGGGTTGTGTGTTGTGGTCATAATTCTTTCAGAAGATGGGATACACTGTACTGCAACCCTAATTTATGCTTCAAACCAGAATGATTTCAGTCAAGACCCAAGGGCAGACTTCTTTGCCTCTGATACTATAGTTAAAAATTGTTACTAATATTTTAATATTAATAAAAGACATAATTTTACAAACTTCTACACTATGTCACATATATATATGTGTGTGTGTGTGTGTAAATGTATGTGTGTGTATATGTATGTATGTATAGAGTATGTGTATGTAAATGTTTACACACAAACACTATAGTGTAAAAGTAAATTTGTATTAATGTTAAAATTAATTAAAGTACATAATTAATACGTATCTAACCTTTTACTAACTTGTGGACTTCAAAGGCTGGGGAACTCTGGGAGTTGAAGACCACAAGTCTTAAAATTGTCAAGGTAGGAATCCCTGTTTTAGACTATCTAACAAATATTTACAAATGCAAGGATAGGACAAGAAAAATTCAGAAGACAGGGATGCAGGAAAGATGGTATTTGTGACACATTTTTTCTGGTAAAGTATTTGGAATATTTTCTTATTTATTATACTTGCCACATTAAAGCAAAGCATTTTTCTACAAATATTTGTATAGAATCAACTCCATCTTGAAGATTTAAACTGGTGCTGTTTGTATGCTGCTTCAGTATGATTGAAAAATTGCATATTTTATGACAAAAATGCTTTGAAGGAGACTTAAAGGAATCGAGTTTAAATAATACATACTTTGAGGCAAAGCATATTATCAGAGGATTTTCTGAAGCCTCTAATAATAATTTGCCCCAACTGCTATATCCAAAGCAAAGATAGCTTAATTAATGGGAATACCACTTACCTCAGAATGCTACTGGAATCACAGCTCCTTTTTATTGAAATAGAATCTTAAGAATCCAGTACTAATATGAATGAATGAAGATTCAAGTTGATTCAGTATGTATCAAGTCATTATGTGAAAATTAACACAAAATTTGCTGTATATTTTAAGCTGGCCCAAAAAGGATTAGTAGATCTTTAGAAATCAGCCTATGCAAATATATTTTCTGGCTTTAATAAGTAGTTATAGTGGACAACTACTTTTTTTGTTATTGGGTTCTGAATTGCAAGGTTATTCCATTTCAATTTTCAGGGATGTTATTACAGCATGTATCTTACACAAAAGAACAATAGTAATATTTTTTTCCCCTTCTGTTCATTTTGTCCAATTCTCAGAATCTATTCAGACAAAGCTCTGAAGTTTTCTTGACAAAGGTTTTCACAAGTGATTTGCCATTGCCTCCTTCCAAGGGTTGACAGAAAGTGATTGGTCCAAGGTCATCCTGCTGGGTTCATGCCCAAGCACGACTAAAATTCCCAGTCTCCTGGTTTCTAGCTTGTTAAGTTAATCACTATACCAGGGGTCGGCAACCCATGGCTCTGGAGCCGCATGTGGCTCTTTCATCCCTCTGCTACAGCTCTCTCACCAGTTGGCTCCACAATTGGTAGGGCTTTCAGTTAGGACAGGTAGAGGAAAAAGGACACTGTGCTAGGAGGAGACTCTATGGTGGGGGAACTGGACTTCCGGTTGGCAGAGGAAAAAGGATACTGCACTAGGAGACTATGATGGGGGAACCAGACTTCCGGTGGGCTCCAGAGTTGAACGGGGGGCTTCCAGTTGGGACCTTTGTGGCTCTGAATGTTTAAGGTTGCTGACCCCTGCACTATACCAAGCTGGTTGTCAATGGTAATAATAATGGGCCACAAAATACATTCCTTACATTTCAAAGAAATTGTCTCTGACTGATTAAAAATGAGTTTTTTAAAAGGTGATTGTATAAACATCCAATGGTTTTAATATGAAGCAATTTGAAATGAGGCATGTCTATATGAGACTAATGCATTAAAACTCTTATCTGCTACAAGAAGCCTAAATATATCATAACAGAATATTGGAGATGGAAAATACAATGTAACTAAACCATCAGATGCTGCCTGGAATAGTGGTAGCCTTTTACACACTTGAAATATTTTATAGGCAAGCAACAGTATTTATCCCAAGTGATTCTTCACAATATTTAAATTATATTCATACCGCTAAAAGTGCCTTAATGCTGAAATTTCTTAATTTGCTTCTAAATCCTCATTCAGTTCTATGAATCTGGCAGAAGACACCCAGTTTATTACTATCTATAAGGCAGGCTACCCTACATTGCCTTAGAAATGTTTATCATACTATTTGAGATTTAACATCTTTCTATACCTTTATGGAGGTCTCTCAATATAATTCGCACTGAAATAAAGTATTTTATGCCACGACTTCTATAAAGACTTTTATAATAAATATATTGCTTTTTACCCAGACTTCAGCATATCAGAGTGCAAGCACACAAGGTCAATGTGGAATGGAACAATGTATGCAGTAGAGCCTTGAAAAGATAGTGTTATTATTTTTACTTTAGTAACTTTAGTAAGATAAAACTCTCAAATTTGAATATTTTCAAGGTAAAACGTAAGTGTGGTATAGATTATATCCTCCTTGGAGTGATACTTTTTTTAAAAAAATTTCTCTGCTGTAACAGGTCTACTCAGGATATCAAGATCCCCTTTTTGACTAAAAAATCCTTATATGAATCAAGTACACTAAATGGTTTACATCTATTGTAATTTGTTTTAATGAAGGTTATTTTTAAAACCATTCCCCCACTTCACACACAAGCAAGGCTCATACTTTATACTAAAACACAGTTTGTTGACTAACCACTATGGTAAGTGCACGAAACATAAACCACCTTGGATGCACAATTCTCATCTTCCCTAGTGAGACTGATCAAATGGCCAGGATCATGGGATAATAGTCTTCGGCTTACACCACCATTTGTTTGTAACCAGAACGGTGCTGGGGGGAAAAAACTTATAACCGGTCCTCTCACTTATGACTATTGCACCATCCTCATGGTTACATAATTAAAATCTGGCACTTGGAAACTGGCATGTATTTACAATGGCTAGTGTCCCAGGGTGATATGATTATCATTTGCAAACTTCCCTGCCAGCATCTGACAAATCAATATAAGAAACTGGATTTGCTTAATGGCCACATGATTCAGTTAACAACTGCAGTGATTTGCTTAACTCTGAAAAAAAAAAAGGTTGAAAAATCAGGTGCAACTTACTTAACCACCACCTTGCTTAGCAGTCAAACAATTTGGTCCAAATTGTGGTCATAAGTTGAGGACTACCTGTATTGCAGGTGATTTTGACTGTCTTACTTTAATGCTACATAGAGCCTGGAAAAGTATGATATATAAAGCATTATATTTCAAAACCTAGAGAGCACAGGTATCAAATTTACTGCGTCATGTTGCCGTCACGTGACGTTTTGCAATGTTTTTCCCCTTCACGGAGCTGTGGTGGGTGTGGCCTGCGTGTGATACATCCGGCCTGTGGGTAGCCAGTTTTGACATCCCTGCTATAGAGTGTTTGCAGCATGGTAAGTCAACATACCGCTTAGATTTTTTTCCCCCTAAAAAATAAATCTCAAGAATACGGAGCTTTTTTTTTTTTTGGACAAATTTCCTTTTATTATACAACAAAAGGCAACCTTCCCATTACTGCATATTTTGTGCAAAGTGTTTTGATGGGGAAGTTGTATTCTGAATAGTGAGGCATGAGCAATAATGGAGGAATAATCAGGAAAAACTAGCAAGCACTTGGCTGGTGGTTTAGTACCTCAATTTATTCCCAATGCTAGAACAGATAAGATCCATAGCCTGACTAGGTGGCTCAGTGGCTAAGACACTGAGCTTGTTGATCAGAAATGCAGTTAGGCGGTTCAAATCCCTAGTATAGGTCTCCTGCGTGAGCAAGGGGTTGGACTAGATGACCTCCAAGATCCCTTCCAACTCTGTTACTATTAAACTTAAATATTATGGTATATTTTACGGGAGAGATACTATGCAGCATTTAAAGTCAAGATTTTTTTTTTTACCAATTCACAATTTAGATTGTTACAAAAAGATGTCTTATGACATGTTTATACCAGAAAAGAATAAAGTTGCTGCTATCTCTTCATTCTTGTTTTAAACTCAACATTAAAAATATCAAGATGTCAGGGTTTATTTATTCTCTCTTAGCAAGCCAATGTATGAGACATCAGCCAGGTAAATCCTATTCATTCTTACTTGGAAGTTAACCAGCCTAGGTATGGCAGGACCTATTTCTGAGTAAACATGTATAGAAATGAGCTTTTAAAATTCACTTTAATATTAAATATTGCTATATTGCCCCTCATAGTCAGTTGAATCAATTTGTAGCTAGTGTTTTTCCCCTTATGATACAGGCTTTCTGCACATGGGAATACTGGATATCTCATACATTTAGCATTATCAGAAACAAATAGCCAGAGAAATTTGCTGGCCATGATGCAGTGCCGGAGCAGGGTACAGAATAGCTACTCAAATGTCACAGTTGCATTACATGTATTCAAGTCTTACACATCTGCAAAACAGAAATAGTAACATCCATTTGAATGTTCTTTTTTAATAGGTCTGTGGGGAGGCCGAGGAAATTCTGAAGGGCCTGGTTCTTGCGACATTGAGCTGGAGCTGCAGCTGCTGCTTCTGCTGCTACTCCCAGCTACTGGTACCCTAACTCTGTCCTCGACTAAAGGGGATCCAGGACTCAGGTATCCTGCGGTGGTCTGGGTAGTGACAGTAGCAAAGGTAGTTGGACCGGCATTGTTTTTCACATAGACATTTTTTATAGCAACTAACGTATGTGTCATGACACTGAGGGTGTTGTTGAGATCTTGCATTCCTTGGTGTAGCAGCCGAAGATTATGATTGATGCTATCGAACCCAGATTGAATGATATGCAGTTGATTCTGTTGGATCTGTAAGAGATCTTCTTCTGTAATTTCATTAGAGTCTGTCTGGGATTGAGTTTTCGTTTTGGCTTTTACTTTTCCGCAAGGGCCTCCGTTCGGTATCCCCAAAAAAGGGAGCTGCTCCTGGCTAGGAGGAACAACTGCCATATCTTCTGAGCTTTCTTCTGGTTCCACTACTTTCACCACTATTTCTTCTTTTAGATTTATTTTCTCCACACACGATTGTTGGGATGGACCAGGATCATCTGTAAAACCTAAAAGTAAAGGCATAAAACGTTAATCTCTTTATGAATGGAATTCTTGATTATTAAACCTGGGTATGACCAACAAGTAAAAAGTAACTACAATCATTCTGAAATGATGTAGTTTTCACTGGATATTATTACTTACAACTGTATTTCTATTTTCAACCAGCAACTGAACATATATTAATGAAAATATGAATTATAAATGGAATAATAGCAGAGAGAACACTATTTTAAAAACACAATACAATTTAACTGACAAGAGTACAGGGAAAAAATAAAAGTAAATATACTGTATTATACAAAATATCTACTTGTGTTATTTACTGTACTTTTATCTCTTCCAGGAAATGAAAAAATGTTATGGAGAAGAGCACTTCAAAGTGTTTATATATTAAAATGCATAAAGACCTTGTTTACTTTTTTTGTTTATAAACAGAAGATGAAGAATTTCTTCATTATTAAAAAGTTTTTTCATGTCTCAAAATGCAAATATTTAATTAATTTTATTTTTTTAAAGCTAATTAAATTTAAAAACTAACATGGTTTGGACTTCATGAATTAAAAATTAGGCTCAAAATTTCCTCCCTTAAAAAAATGTTCTAAAAAACTATGCAATTTCCCTGGCTTAAATGAAGAACCTACACAGTATTATGCCAAAGCTGCAAAGTGGTATAGAATTAAAGTCAGGCTAGAAACCAGGCAACTGTGAGTTCAAGTCTTGCCTTAGGTTCAAACCCATCTGGGTGATTTTGGCTAGTAATACTCACTCTCAGCTCTGGGAGGCAATGACAAACCATTTCTGAAACCCTGCCAAGAAAACTGCAAGGACTTGTCCAGGCGGTTGCCAGAACTCAACACTGACTGGAGGGCATTGTTTTTAAAAAATCAATGATTATGCAAAAAGATGCTGCACTAAGCCAGAATGTGGATTTTGATGTGGTGTGCTTCTATAAATCAACTACTATAGCTGTGCCAAAAGTGATACCATAATATTATGTATGAATGCATCTATTAGGTGTTGGGAAAAAGTGTTTTTAAACACAGCATTGTTGCAGAACAACACAGAATATGATGCATGCAACCAAATTTTATTCTCTGTGGAGTAATTCACAGTACAGGATATCTCGTTCAACATCTCTCATTGATTGCCCCATTGATTAAATCTTGAAGGATTATTAATAGCTCATAAGCAGTTCATAGAAAAGTAGAGCAAAGATATTATCTTTACTGGGGGCACTGCCACCACCATTTCTAATTTAAAATATCAAGCCGCATACACCTGGGAACACGTATTAACACATCCTTAGATATTCCAGATCAATATATGTAGTCCTCAACTTACAACCATTTGTTTTATTGACTGTTTCAGCATTGAAAAAAGTGATTTATGACTGTTTTTCATCTTTACCATTGCTGCAGCATCCCCATAGTCACGTGATCAAAATTTGGATGCTTGGGAACTGGCATGTATTTATGATGGTTGCAATGTCCCAGGGTTATGTTATCACATCTTGTGACCTTCTGACAAGCAAACTCAATGGGGAAGCTAGCTTCACTTAACAATCATGTTACTAACTTAACAACCGCAGTGATTTACCTTAATAACTGTGGCAAGAAAGGCCGTAAAATGGGGGCAAAACTCATTTAACAACTGTCTTACTTAGCAGTGGAAATGTTGGGCTCAGTTGTGGTTTTAAGCCAAGGCCTACCTGTACAATTGTTCAGTGTAAGAAAATATTTCAGACCACAGATTTTTAAAAAATTAGAATTAGGAGCCTAGTTGTAAGAAACATTCTTACAAACTAAAGAAATTCAACCTAAAAGTTTGACTTAGCTGAATGATATTCATTATCCTTCTATAAAAAATATCTATTCTGAATTAATTTCAACTCTTACACATTTCAGTGAAATAATTGTCTTGGGGTGGGAGAGATGTACAGTGTTTTAAATAATGGGGAGTCAAGAATTCTTAAGTTTATCCACTGCAATTAGTCTAAAACCATTCCAAGAGGTGCCGAACTCGTCTGCTCCAACCTAGCGATATTTCTTGAAAGAAGGGAAAGGATATTGGCAATTGTCTTTGAAACTTTTCATTCTAAACCTAAGCAAGCAGGAATCTTCCGGTTTCTAATATTCTAACAACTGGCTCTACCCTGCCCCTTATCCTGCCCCTGCTGTCCATTGGGCTATTTTCAAAATTTTAGCATTGAAATTCCATAATCTAACTAAAATTTCAATGTGTACTGAGAATATACACTGCTCAAAAAAATAAAGGGAACACAAGCAGAAGACATCCGAGATCTGAATGAATGAAATAGCCTTATTAAATACTTTGTTCTTTACATACAGTAGTTTATACACTGCTCAAACAACTAAAGGGAACACAAAACTACTGTATGTAACGAACAAAGTATTTAATAAGGCTATTTCATTCATTCAGATCTCGGATGTCTTCTGCTTGTGTTCCCTTTATTTTTTGAGCAGTATATTTCTGCTACAGTAAGTGAGAAATGCAAACTACCCCATCTTTACTTTCTCTTTATTTTCTAGTCCGTTTTAGAGAGCTCAGCAGTAAAACCAAAACCAGCTCCTTCCACGCTGGAAAGTCTGAACTACCTTGGAAAGAGCTTCCCCATCAATCTAACTGAATTGGCACGAGGCACTTTTTTTTTTTTTTTTGCATTCATGATACTCCTAAAGTTCCTCCTATCTGCTGAAGGAATATTTTAGAGCATCAGCCTGCAAGCAGTTCCTTAACCCAAAGGACCCCATATTTCCAAGATGTTCTTGACCCGCAGGGAACTTTAGCCGCATACATTCAACGCAACGCCAACTGCTGCAGCGATGGGAGGTTAGTTCTTATCCAAACGGCATCCAGCAGCTTTTCTTCTGGGCGTATCAAATAGAGAGACTGCGGGCTGCACCAATACTTAAAACGGGTGGCCGAGAGCGCTTCACGGCCAAAAGCCGCCCGGGGGAAAGAAGAAAAAAAAAAAGCAACGGGGGGGCTATTGTTGCCCGCGAAGGGAAGGGCGGCGAGGCGGGTAAAAGAGCAGCCCCACCAGACAAGGGAAGAAAGAGGCTCCTTTGCAACTCACCCATATCCGACGCGGAGGAGGCTCTGGGCAGATCCAGGGTGTCGATCCCCCCGACGATGGGCAGAGCCTCGCTGGCGGCAGGCAGCCCCGAGGGATAGGATCGGAGGTGGTCGGGCGGCGAGGCGTCCTCGTTGCCCATCAGGAGGCCGAACGAGGCGGGGTGGGGGGCAACCCCGCCGGCGCCGTGGGTGACGCGGCAGAGTTTGCTCCGATCGCGGCGCTTCAGGTCCCGCCAGCGCTTTTTGAGGTCCTCCACCTCGCGAGGGCAAGCGGCCACCGGGTTCACTTTATGCCGGATGAGCTCCCAGACTTTGCGCTTCTGCCCCGGGGAGGCTCGGCCAGGCCCGGCTGCGAACAGCACCTGCTCGTGTTTCAGCACCTGCTCGATCAGCACCTCCGTCTCCGCCTCGTTGAAATTGGCCTTGCGCCGCTTGGGCGAGTCTTCCGCCATCCTAAACCTCCAGGGGAGAAGGGTCGGGAGGGAGGGAGGGGGGGGAGGAGGCTGCTGCTCTGAGAGTCCGCGATGGGGAAGGCCTCCTGCTTTTTATTGCGCCGCCACCGGCTCTAGGCCAAACCCCGGGCCTCGCTCCGAAAGCAAATACCGCGCATGAGAGGAAAAGACGCGCAAACCCCCGGCGCAGGCGCCCCGCTTGTTGACATGGGAGGGGAGGGGGGAGGGGAGGCAACCCTGCTGCCGCGGACCTCCTTTGAGCCCGCCCCGCTGTGAAGTCCACCAATCCCCAACTTCCAAAGCTTCGCCGCCTCCCAATGGGGGGCTTTGCCGGGAAATGGCTTCGACTCCTTCACTCGTCCGTGCGTTTCAATGCCCGCCTCTTGTCCGGAGCCGGAGGGTTCTGGCCACGCCCCATCGTGCCTTTCAGCTCTAGAAGCGCGCGCGCTCTTTTTTTTTATTTTTTTGCTCCCCCTGAGAGTTGTAATCCCGCCTTCCCGGCGGGGGCGGGGAGGAGGGGGGCGGCGGCTCCCTCTCAACCCAGCGCGTCCGGCGTCCCATCCGTCTCTTCCCCCCCCCCCCCCCCCCCCCCCCCCCTGCCGCGCAGCACCCCCGCGGAGTGAGAAAAAGAGTCCCCCCCCCCCCTTTCTTCCCCTCTCCCCCCCCCCCCACTCCCTCTCTCTCCCGCTGCTGCTCAGGGCGGCTTTCGGGGGCTGCGGCGAGGCGTGTTTGCGCGCCTGCCCCGAAGCCTGCAGAAGCGGCGCCTCTTAAGTCCTAAGGGCGGTGTGGGATGGCGGCTGCTTTGGAGCTGCTCTTGCGGGACGAGGTGGCAGCCGGCGCGGTGGTGCGGTGGCTGAAGTCAAGCCAGAGCTGCGCCGAAGAGGTAAAAACGCGCAACCCGCTTTGGCGACAGCGACGCTTCTTTAAGTTAGCCCTCCGTGGGGCGGGAAGTTGGCGGGGGCGGTGAAGTTTCTTCTCGCCTTCAAAAGCACCGCAGAGGAGGAATAGCGGGAAAAAGCAGGAATAGTTGCCTGTTAGGTGCCCCTCCTGCGCGGCCCTGGAGGCTACGGAGCAGGGCACCTCCGGGGCCTCCATGATGTGTGCGAATCCGCTCTTTATCTTGGGGGAACCACGCAATCCTCACCCCGAGATCCCGTGCAATCCTTTCCCCAATTTCAGTGACCTGTACGTGCTTGCAGGTTAGCCTTGGCCGAGGGTCAGCCTTGTCTTTGCAACCCATTCCTGGGGGGCGGGGTGTGTGTGTACATTTTCCCCCTTGAAATAAGGCTGGGAAAAGTCAGAGTAAACTTATTCCCAAACAAATGCGCCCAGAGTTGCACGTGTAATGAAAACCATCTTTCATATGCGTCTGCTGACTTTTGCGCATGTGAGAATGAGTTCTTTACAAAAACAAAAGTTTTTTTGGCAAATCAAAACATGCCTGGATCTTGGATTACCTGAAAGGGAGAAAGCAACGGGATTGTCTTTTCCTATGCGGAGTCAAGTAACATTGTGTCCAAAGCCAATCAAGTTACTATGGCACCTGCAGCAAATTAAAAAAAAATTGATAACAACTGCTTGTATGTCAAATAGCAGAAGCGGTCACATCAATCTAGCTTGGCTAGAGCCATTTTTAAATATAATCTAGGATTTGCTGATCAAGGATCAATTTTAATATGCTTTTCTAAATAATCAGGAGATGGCATAGGGCCCACAAGCATAATTCTCCTTAGGTATGAAAATTTATAACTGGAAGAACTGTAGAGTTCCTGAACTAAGCATAAAGAAGTCTTTGTACTAGTTTGCTCTCTAGAGAACTAATGTTGGACATGAGTACTTAGTTTCTACACACACACGCAATATATGTGTCTTGCTTGGTCAGTTAAAGCAACATTACAGCCTAACACTGCAAAAGTGTTTCCTATACCAGTGAATAAATCAATGTTCAGCAACTCCTAGTAATTGGAAAGTAAATTATACTGCCTTTATAAGCAGCTGTTTGAACAAATATTTGATTGTCTTTTTATTACACTGGTTATTGTGTAAGGTATTTTAAAATGGCTCTCTTGTGATTACAGTAATTAAGTAGTGCATTGCTGATTAAAGCATTCTTAGTGTCATTCAAAAGATTGTCTTTATCTTCAGTGCCTTTGTATTTTGGGTGGTGCATGGGAACTAATAAGATTTTTAATGCCATTTGTTGGTCTAGAGATGCTAAAGAAGTGCCAGTTAATTGTTTAATTTTAATTATTAAACTCATATTGTTAAAATTAACAATAAAAAAACTTGAAGTAGAAATAAAAGGAACTAAGAGCAAACCCAGATACACAAAATAAAGCCTATAGGGACTGGACATCTTTCCTCCATGTTCAAAAGACTGCTCCAAATTAAAAACATGTTTAAGAAACAAATAGGAAACTTGCATGTTGCAAAGCAAGACTAAAATCCTCTAGCACTGGGGTGTCAAACTCAAGGCCTGCGGGCCAGATTTAGCCCGTGGGGTGCTTAAATCTGGGCCAGAGGGCCAGCCTGGAAATAGCAAAGGACCTGCGGTGCCTCTGTTAGCCATAACGGGATGCAGGGGGGGAGGGCATTTTGGCCAGCAGAATGCTGCAGGAGGCCGTCCAGACCGAAAATGGGGCAGCTTATTCATGATTTAGAACAGCAATCCCCAACCTTCCCAGCTTTGTGGACCCACACTGGTGGTTGTGGGAGGGAGGGGGATGGTTTTGCACATGTGCCACTTGCACAAATGCAGTTTTGTGTATTCCCCTGCTCGCCCACTGTTTGCATGGCCTGGTTCCCAACATGCAGTGGCTGGTACTGGACCCCAGACCCAGGATTGGGGACCCCTGATTTAGAAATGTTCTGTGGATATAAGGAACCGTTCTGTCTGAACCGGCAGATTCTGGATTAAATGCATTTGGCCACAAAGTATTACATTGGAATTCTTCATACTTGTAACGAGCAAATATATAACTGTTTGTCTGCTCCTGTTTAGCCTCTCCTGCAGATGGAAGTGGCTAAAGTTACCAGTGATTTACCATGAAAGGAAATGACCGTAGCATTTTGCCCAAATCATTATTCCTATGTCCTCTGTAACAAAAGAACATCTGTAGCCAAGATTTATGTACATGGGTTAAATTGAAAAAATAAGAAACCTAATGCTTAGTTTTCATTCTGATTAGTTTAATGAAAGTGTAATAAAAAAACATTTTCATATATGAAGCTTAAATTATCCAGAAAAGAAGACAGATATATTTGCAAAGGAAATGAGTACTCTGATTATAGAAGATTTAATAATACTGGTAGAAACAGCCAAAACAAGCTTCAATGAAAGCTTTCCTATGGCATTTTTACATATTAGAATCCATCTTGGACAGTTAGTAATATTCATCTGCTTGCAATCTTCTGTTGAAAAGTCTGATATAAATTGTGAAAAATACTTTATTGTTTTGCTGACTTCCACACAGTTCTATTTCTTTAGAGTAGAAAACAATTTTGCTGTAGTAATGAAGGGAAAAAAATTAAAGTCTTCATTCTGACATTCATTGAAAAGAGAAAAACTGCTGGTGGAAATCACTGTAGTAAACAAATATTTTATATAAATATGAGCATATACGGAATGGTGCTTTTCCAAGTTGGCAGCTGAATGCCAAAATGTTTAAAAATGTATATTGATAGAACAATGTGTAATCACATGTTGTTACCATCTGTTAATTTGGTAAATGTTTGAGAGGAACAGTGATTATGATTTAATAAATTACAATAAGTCTCTGATTTCTGGTTTTAGATTACCTGAGGGATTTGGTTTTGAAATGGTTTCATTTTGCTTTGTATGCTTATAATAGACATTCATAACTGAGCTCATTCTTGTAAAAAATGCATAAAGTTATGCATGTCTGAAGTAAAATTCAGATTAAAATAAATCAGTTGATGTGTATTATGATTTGTTTGTACAGGACACTCCAATTCACCCCAAACTTGTTGCCCTTAATTTGCTTCAAAAAGACTTTGTTCCTTTTTTGATGAACTACATCAGGGAACAGACTAGTCAGATATTGACCCATGGACCATCTACCCCTGCTAAAATTCCAAATTCCAAGATCTTGAGAAATTCTAGTAGCTATAGAAACCAAAGGACCGGATCTGAAAAAAAGTTCCATACTAGTAGCTGTCGGGGACAACTTTTCTTTGATAGAGTTCCTACTGGCTTGCAGTCTCCAAATACCAGTATTTCTGCTTCACAATTGCATGGATCTTCAGTTGTTAATGGATCAAGTGAACTGAATTCCAGTAGTGATCTCTTAAATGTGGATCTCAGCAGTAGCCCAAGTGTGGGTTCGAGCCCTATTTTTTCTCGCAGTGAGAGACGATCTGCTCAGAAAACAAACTTGGGGAATTTTCTTGTTGCTGCCCCAATAAGGCGAAGCAGAAGAAAAGGAAGCAATTGTACAAGTGGTTCTAGTCGGCCAATGGGACATGATGTAGGAAGAAACACAAATGATGAAGTAAAAAGTGAAAGTTCCTCATTCTCATTGAGACAGAAGAAACAGAGTGAAATGAATCTTGTCTCCACTTGTTCACCATCTGACCAGCTTAATTTACATGATTTGGAGGAGTTTCCACCCATGAGTGCTGCTGGAAAAATAAAGTAAGTCTCAGTTCTCAAATTTTGGTAATTCCGATGAAAAGGAAATGTCCTGCTTCTGGGATGGCAAGATAACTTTTAGAGAAATGCAGGACTTGAAGCAAAATTTCAAGCAGGGTGTCAAAGTCAAGACCCACGGGCTGGATCTGGCCTACGGGGTGGTTAGATCTGGCCCATGGAGCCGTCCTGGGAACAGTGAAAGACCAGCCCGTGGTGCCTCTGTTAGTGAAAACAGAGCTTGGGGAGGGGGGCGCATGTGGCCTTCCTGGGCTCCGTTTTCTGCTGCAACGGCCTCCTGCAACCCTCTGCCAGCGAAAATGGAACTCCATTTTCACTGGCAGAGGGCTAGCAAAACAAACTAAAAATAAAACAAAACAAAAGGAGAAATGTTTCCCCTTTTGCATTTGAGCATCCAAGAAGGGACAGAACAGGAGAACGGGAAAGTCAAAGAGGAAAGACAAAGGAAAAGAAGGAAAGATGGGAAGAAAGCAAGGGAAGAAAAAGAAGGAAAGGGGAAGGAAAAAGAAGAAAAGGAAGGAAGGAGATTATAATGAGAGGGAGGGAGGGTCTGGGGGAAGTCCTGCCTTAGCACTTGGCCACCACAGGTGCCCCTGACACAAGTGATGCTGAGCTGGCCACACCCACCCGGCCACGCCCACCCCGAGGTCAAAGACAACTCTGATACGTCCCTCAATGAAAATGAGTTGGACATCCCTGTACTAGAGGATTCAGGGTTTTCCTCTATTATTTAATGTCTATATGAATACTGTATGTTGATGCCACCCAAATATATGTACAGGTACTCCTTGACATACAGCCAGTCATTTAGTGACCATTTCAGTCATT